GTATATATTTGAGAAACTATTCATTTATTTCTTCATATGAAATATTTATATCTACATCAAATTATAAATAAATAAATATAAAAATGATGTACATGTTATGAAGATGCAAATTTTAATTTTGGGTTTGATTAATTATGATTAATTGCTTGACACAACTGTTTTTGTGTATGTATATGTTCATACTTAAAATGTCATTTAATATTCCATTTATAATTTTTTAATATTTTAACTTTATTATTTACATTCTGTAATTGATCGCATTAAAAGTTCTTTAATAACAGTATTTAAATTATGAAATAAATATTTAAACGATTAAATAAAGTCTGTGTTTAATATCACATTACTTATTATTTAATTTAGCTGGGTTGCTGCAATTGAAATGAAGTATTGTTAAATTTCACTGCTATTGATTACTGAAATATATTGTGACTTCTCTGTTCACCACTCTATCTCTCTGTCCACATAGCTGTGCTGTGCTTTCCAACATGAAAAGTACCTTTATTTGGGGATGGAGTTCATGCCAGGTGGAGATCTGGTGAATCTGACCAGGAATGGGCTCAATTCTATACGGCAGAAGTGGTGCTGACACTTGACGCCATCCATTCTCTGGGCTTCATCCACAGAGACATCAAACCAGACAACATGCTGCTGGACCGCAATGGACACCTCAAACTTGCAGACTTTGGCACATGCATGAAGATGGACTCGGTGTGTGGTAAGTGCATTTGAAGTGTCTTTTAAGGGGGTGTGATACTAACAAAAATGTTTCTCTCCTTTTTTTGATAATCTCATTGAACAATATTTTGCTTAGTGTGCTTTTGTGCTGATACCTTGGCTAGTTTAGGCCTGACATGGATTAATAGATATGACCACTAGGTGACACCACTACTGCAGGTGACAGCAAGTCTCTTTCTCCTTTTCAAAAATACTAGGCTACTATCTAAATCGGTACTTCGTTTGAATTCTAAGTTGTGTCTTGACAGTAATAAAATGGAATAGTGGAAGTGAGAATGAAATTCAGGCTACTGCATTGACGTTGTTGTCACTGTCATGTTAACCTTTCGTCATCACGCCTCATAGGATAGTAAATGAATTAATTCCACACTTCAGTAATTGATAATTCTGGTACTTTTTGCCTCCTGATTCATTCAATCATTTTCCTTTAGCTTAGTCCCTTTATTCATCAGGGGTCGCCACAGCGGAATGAACTGCCAACTTAGCCAGCATATGTTTTACACAGCGGATGCCCTTCCAGCTGCAACCCAGTACTGGGAAACACCTATACACACTCCTTCAAACATACACTATGGCCAATTTGGTTTATTCAATTCACCTGTAATGCATGTCTTTGGACATGGGGGGAACAAGCAAACTCCACAGAGAAATTCCAACTGGCCCAGCCGGGGCTCGAACCAGCTACCTTGTTCCTGGCGACAGTGCTAACCACTGAGCCACAGTGTTGCCCCTGCATCCTAATTTCTACTACTAATTCGGATGTAAAAGGTCACATGCTGTTTTTCACAAACTTAATATTAGAGAAGTGTGGAGTTTAGAATTTATTCTGTTTTTATAAGTGATTCAATGAACATTTATTCAAACAATTTATTCAAAATGGCTGATTCATTTAGAAACGAAGCAATTAGTGACTGTCTTTGTTGATGATTTATTTAAAACAGATTGAAGTTCAAAACACACACACACACACACACACACACACACACACACACACACACACACACACACACACACACACACACACAAACTCTTCTCCTAAGATGCACATTTTCTGCTTCAGCTTTGTTTGGTATTTTCTGTTGATCTGTTGAACAGAACTCGCATTATTGTGTTTTAATGGATGTTCAGGAAAGCCTGCTTGTGTTAACTTGCTTGTATTATTTCACAAAACCTTACACATTTTATAAACAAAACCCCATAAAGGGATATTTTAACCCACCTATTTGTCATTGGGACTGCTTTCCAATAGTTTTAAATGCTTTTGGACGTGATTTTGTTTGTTTTTCTCAATTGAATGAAGCTCTCTGTAATGCCAGCCCACAATACAATTACAATTTTATTGAAAACGATAAATATCATACACTAGTAGTTGGTGTGTTTAGATGTACTATACATGACCGAGAATGAGAGAGTTTCTTTAAGATTTTGTAGTGTAGAGATTTACAATTATCACCTCACACATTGCAGCATCATTAACGTACGTTACAGAAAGCCTCCATTCGGTTATGACAGATGTTAGTGCTGCCATCTTGTGGCTAGATTATACAATGCAGTCCTTAAATTGAATGAATATAAATTGTGTAAATAATTTAAATTTTAAACATACTTGTATTTCAGCTACATTAACTCAGCCAGTAATGTTTATATCCATGTGTCTACATGTGTGTTTAGACTGGTATGGTACGCTGTGAACACTGCTGTTGGGACACCTGATTACATTTCTCCAGAGGTTTTAATGTCTCAAGGAGGGACTGGTTATTACGGTCGTGAGTGTGACTGGTGGCCTGTTGGTGTTTTCATTTATGAGCTTCTAGTGGGTGAGAAGTGTCAGCTTCATATGCATCTCTTGAAATTTTATTTCAGTGTTCTCATAATCAAATGTTTTCTTCTGTCGATCTGGGCAGGCGACACTCCATTTCATTCCGAGTCTCTGGTGGGCACATATGGAAAGATCATGGATCACAAAAACATCTTAACTTTCCCAGATGATATTGAAATGTCAAAGGATGGCAAAGACCTCATCTGTGCCTTTCTGAGTAGCAAGTGAGACTGAGAAAATGAAAGTTTGATTTGAGTTTTTTTTTTTTCTTGTAAAATTCAGACTCTTACTCGCTTAATATCCCCTTACTTGTTTGTTTTTAGAGGTTGGCTGGTAACATTAATTTTTTTATTAATTTGAATTTAACTTTACTGTAAAAAAGAGCTAATTTTCAGGACAATTTATTACACACATGATGAGATTTCTTTTGTAGTTTGGAGTTTATAACCTGGGTTTGACATTACCTTTTTTGATCACCAGCCACAGTGGCTAGGAGTTTTCCAACATTACTAGCCACTCGCCATTTTCACTAGCCACAATTTTAATGTTGGAAAAATATATTTTATATTGATAAATTTGAATTTGACATGCTAACTTTACTTAATTTATACTTTGTGTCCACATGCCTCCTTGTTCATTTAATATTTTTGTGTGTTGTTTATGACCTTGCTCAATGAGCATGAGTACAGGGGATGTGATTTTTATAGTGTCACTATGCAATTAATTTAGTTTTTTTTTTATAAATAGTTTATTTCACATGAGTTTCCAGGGCTCGACACTAAGGATTTGCAAAGTTTTTCTCTGGCTGCACCGAACTAATTATTACTTTTTTAATTATTACTAATTACTAGTTATTAGTAATTAATATTACTAATTATTAATTTTAAATAATGTGTAAAGCAAACAAAATATAGCTATACATACACTTTTTATACACAGTTGACACTTAAAAACAATATTCTCATGTATTCTCAAAGTGGCTAGTGGGAGTGGCTGTCTAACCCGCCACAGCTGAAATCTACCCGCATTTGTTAATGTGTTAATGTCAAGCCCTGTTTATAACGTATTTAATATAATCACAGGGTAGCTTAGATTTGTTATCGTTGTTATCATATGAAATTTTCCCTATTTTTCCCTATCGATGTACTTTTTTCCAAAATGACAATCTCAGGGAATATTTCATAAACACCAAATCATATATTTTTTAATTTAATTAAAGGAGAACATACAAGTCTATATTAATTTGATGCTTTTAAAAGCTCTTCATACAATAAGTCTTTCATAAAACTTTAATGTCCTACTGCTTTTACTAGACACACTAGCTTAATAAAACCTTACTTGTTTGTTTTTAGAGGTCGGCTGGTAGTGAAATTAATTTATTATTTTTTCTATTTGAAATTAGCTTCACTGTAAAAAAAAAAAAAGTAAATTTTCTTGACAATTTTTTACACATTTTGATCAGATTTCTTCTGTAGTTTATAACATATATAATGTAAACACAGAGTACCTAAGATTTGTTATTACTGAAAACAGTAAAGTTTTCTTGCCATAAATTACCAGGCACAGAAAAAAAGGAGATTAATTTAGCAGCTTCAGTGAGAAAAAGTAGCAGTTTTTGCTTAGTTTATTCTCAGCTAATGTGATGGAAAAACATATTTTGTCTCTGTAGCCAGAATATGATGATCCATTTCCCCAAACACAAATGTTGGCTATAAAAAAATGAATAATCTTTATTAAACCGTTCAAGATATTCAAAGATTTTTTTTTCTCATAATTTTGCAGCCCTGTATAATTGACACACAGTTTTGCACAACCCAGTGTTGTTGTTGACACTTTGTAGTGTTCTGATTGATTGAATTAGTAAATTATGTGTATATTTGACAAAATACAACAATGTTAATATAATCTAAGCCTGATTACTACACATACCTAAAATATAAATAAATAGTTTTATCAGTGAAAAAAAAAAGTTTTATCAGTGTTTATGAAATGTTCCCTATTTTTTTTAAAGGTTTAGGGTCAATAAGATTTTTTTTTTCATTAATGGTTTTAGAAAAATTCTAAAAATATACATATAATTCTGAATAGTAAAAATAATAATAATAATCACAAGAAATATTTCTTAAGCACCAAATCGCCAAAAAACTTACTAAGACATATCAACATTTTAATTGAATTAAATTAGATAAAATGTAAAGACAACATACAAGATGATCTTTATTTATGTTATGCCTTTAAAAGCTCTTTATAAATAAAGTCCCTAATAAAACATACATTTCATCTCCTACTGCTTTTACTATATCAGCTTCATGGACGTTCACCCTCCAGCCTGACAACTTCCATCTGAATTCCTCTTTTCTCCTTCCCTCTTTCTCCTCTCTCACATGCCCACATACAAGCATTTCTGATCAAACATACAGAGAGGGGCTTAATGATTTCTCTCAATGTTTTCATGTAAACACACACACACACACACACACTCCTCCCTTTGCATTCAGGCTGTTGGAATGTCCCACACGTGGTAGTCCAAACTGCTGCACCGCCTCAATGCAGATGAAGTAAAAGGAAGGGGGAGTGAACGGTCCTTATTTTTGGATGTCTCTCTGACTGCTCCACTCCTCCATGCTGTGCTGTTGGATGTTCTTGGTTTATGGTCATTTAACGGATTAGCGCTTCTCTGTTTGTTTTGCTGACCAGTGTTGTGCTATGTTCAGGGAGGTGAGGCTTGGCCGGACTGGAGTGGATGAAATAAAATGTCACCCCTTCTTCAAGAACGATCAGTGGACCTTCGACACCATATGAGACAGTAAGTCAGTGAGAGCTTGACTTTTTTTTTGTCGCTGCCTTTAGTTGTGGTGAAATGAGATGCATCATGTCGTTTATCTGTTTGTGCAGTCAGTACCTTTTATTTCTGAATCGTCTGGCATCGTACTTGAAGCCAAGTCATTTAGCCGAAGGCATAGTTGTCTTAGAACGAGTAGTTTGCTGATCAAATTCCACATTTTGATGAGGCAAAACACATCTTGGATGTTTTAATTACTATTTTAGGTGAAAAGCAAAATAATGAGATTTGTGTAAAATCTAAAGTTAACCAAGTCCAGCCCGCCATCTTGTCCTGCCTCTCAGTTCTCTTAAGCCTTGGGCCGGCTCTGTGAAGTGGCCTCTTTTGGGCTCATCATTGAAGACCGGACGAGCTGCAACATTTCGTTCTCCCAGGTTCTGGGAGAAGATGAGCATGTCATCGGTCTAGACTATGGTCAACTTGTGAAGTTACTCATACACCTCAGCTTATGGCATATTACCATTCAAATGAAACGTTTCCAGCAGAATATGACGCTCTAAAAAAACTCCATCAGCACTGGTAACTATGAAAAACACGACTGAACACTAATAGTATACTCAACACTTTACACTGACATTCGAAGGATCACCTGACGTTAAAGACTGAAGTAAGAACGCTGGAGGAACATCAAATTTTAACACGGAAGAGTTTTTTTTTCTCCCAAATTAAAGGTTTCCCAGGTTTGGATCAGGTGTGATGCCTGCTCATCTGACCTTTGACCTCGGCACTAAACTGCTGCTAGTTTTCTTTCAATGCCATGAGATTTCTGAATTCTACATGCAGGAACCGATGCATTCTTTTTTTTCTTTTTATTTCTTTAAACAAAACAGATATGGCAGACACGGCCAAACATCGAAACTTTGGAGGACGTCTAGGAAAAAAAGCACCATATCATCAAGGGGAATAAAAGGTTTGATCAAAGCGTGCATTTACACACATTCATTTAAATATGGACAAAACCAACATTGGGTTATTTTTGTTATTAGATTTAAAACACGTGGACCCTATTTGACCCAGTGTTCATATATACATATTTTTATGAATGAATATTTTCGCATATAAAAGATAATAAAAGACTGACTAGACAGATTAGATGGATCAATAGACAGATTGACACGTGTAGTCATTCGTTCTTGTGTATTTGATGACTAGCTTCCAGTAGTATCTGGCTGCAGACTTGCATGCAACCTGAGACACAATGCACTCAATGGAGCTAGTGAGGTCTCTGTGAGAGGCGGGGTTAGGGGTGCACACTCACTGACAGCCTAGATTTTAGCCTCGTTTTAACCAAGCCGTCTGTTAGACTTTTAACCCTTATGTATTGTTCAAGTGGCTGTTTTTGCCCCCAACGACCTCCATTATAGCTAAACTTGTTTTAATTGCAAAGCCATGACACCAGATAGTAACTCATTCTTTATTGTTGGTGGTTTCCCTGCTGGGATGAGATAAAACTAGTCATTTTTACTTTTGATCGTCAGTTGGTACCTTTAAACGCCCCAAAAAAAATGCTTGCTGGGATGGTACCACGAGGCTGTGCTCACTTCTGGACAGAGGGGGTGTAGACTTGCAGCTAGTGCCGGTAAGAGGTGCAGACGCTGAGGCTGTTCTGTATGCGAGTGTTGAGGTTTTGAAACATCACCTGACAACGTGTAGGTAGAGAGTAGCAGGTTCTGGGAGTAGATGAGCATGTCACCGGTGTAGACTTTGACCAACTTGGGAAGTCACTCACAAGACCTCAGCTTATGGGACATTACCATTAAAATGAAACGTTTCCAGCAGAATATGATGCTTTAAAAAAAAACTCCATCAGCACTGGTAACTATGAAAAACACGACTGAGCACTTATAGTATACTCAACACTTTACACTGACATTTGAAGGATCACCTGACATTAAAGACTGAAGTAAGAACGCTGAAAAAACATCCGATTTTAGCACAGAAGAGGTTTTCTTTTCCTAAATTAAATCAAAACTTCATAATATTGTGTTAATGAATTAATTAGTGTGTGTTGCACTGCTGGAGTGAAGGTTAACCAGTCCACACAGTTCATGCAGCTATAATCTTTATTATCTTTTACTAAGAAACTATGTACAATATTTACACGTTGGCTCCAGGTCTCTTGGATGAAGATCTCTCAGCGACGTGGTCTCTTCTGGTCGCCGCGCGTCTCTGGTGGAGATGGGGAGCGGGACCACCTTTATGAACCAAAATCGTTCTTTGTACCAGGCTGTAAACACCTTCTTTTCTGCTGTAAAGTTGGCCATTTTAACAGTGGGCTCAATAGAAATTTGCTCCATATGGAGCCAGGACTGCCAGAATTTCATTGAACTGCATTTTCAGTTACTTCTGTATTTGCTTCATGACGGAGAGCGGGAGGTTGCCGTTGTTTGGGCACAAGCTGTAATATTTACTTTTCTGATCTGGAAAGATTCTCATTTGCAAAGGTTTTTGTTTGCTTCCTGGACATCCCCAGCACAAATAATTAAATGATGAGTGGGGTGTTTTAAGCTGAAATGACACACACATTTTGGGGCAGCTAATATTTTTATTATGCTTGTAACATAACCCTTTATAACTGCAATGAAATGAAAGTAGTGTTAAATGTTTCTTCTGAATTAAAAGTAAAACTATCAGAAAGTAACAAACAAATGTAGGACAGGTGCTTTTTTATTCCTTTCGGTTGTTACTTAGTGGCGGCAAAGCTTGAAAGCAAATTTCCAGTCCATTTTAGATAAAATAAACTGAATTATTAAAGACAGCCAGAGAGATGACTTTCATTTTCATGGCATAAATGAATGTAACTCAGCCTCTTGACTTTTCAACTCTTGTTTATTTCTCAATAGCAAAAAAATGCCAAAAACAGACACCCAAAACCCTACGCATGCTGCGCGACACAGGGGCGTGAACCTGCAGGACCCAGACGCACAGTCCACTCGAAGCTGCTGTGGGAACTAAAGGCCTGTCAACACTCCATCATGGGAGACCACGACACCTTCTCCTCCCTAAAATCCCACCCTTCACCCTTTCACCTCCCAAGACGGATAAGGAAAGAGAAAGAAAGAGAAAGGAATACCAGGAAGAGCTCGAGGAAAACGCCTCACTCATGCCACAAAGAGATTTTTCAAGGAAGACTTCTGGTGGACGGGGCTGAAAGCGAACGGACGATGGATTCTGTCATGTCTGGCAGTAAATATGGATTCTGTATTACTTTCAAGTCAACAAGAATTTCCACCTCAGTTCATCCTCATTATGCAAGCACCATGTAGAGATAAAGGATTGGAAAAGAGATAAAGGAACACAGAATGGACTGAAGAGTTATTATTAACCAACAAACCTTCCCATTCTCAGCCCCTGGAAGGGTCCGTAATGCCCCTTTTAACATTCAGAAGTCTTCAAGCGAAATCTACACTGAGTATCCATATGGTCTGGGCTCTCCCATTTAATCTCAACTCTAACACTGGAAGAAAGTCAGCACCTTAAACTTAAACTAACCCTTCAGTTATTCATCTATGAGCCACATCTACTAAATTTCTAACACAAAGGAACACCGAAGCAGAACTTCATATGTTTTATTTCAGCTTTATTTATTACCTTTGTTTGAACTGGTCTCCCTTTGCGCAGCTCGTCATTCATCTATGACCCAAAAAGTATTGAAGAAAGTCAATGTTGTCTTCCCTATCCCATTTACTTCTCCCCACAGCATTGACCTCAAAGTTCAGTGTTGATGTTCACAAAACAACAGCGAGCTCTACGATGCCTTCTTAATCTTCTTTTAGCTTTGTGTAAACTACTGTTTGAGAGTCAACAAATTATTACATATATTTGCACCAATCAGACTGATCCAAAATCATTTTGCTTCACGATTAATTGCAAAATATCATTACACATTTAGTTGTCTGGATGCGGAAGTCACACAACACCAGTCTCAATATGTGTTATTAAAAAGCAACAAAAAATATTCAAGCACCCACTAATCAACAAAGTGAATGATTGAGCACTGGGATGGCAAATATTGTGGGAATGCAGATTTTTGCCCACAAAGCCCCTGAAAAAGTGGAAAAAAACAGAAGTGCCTACTCCGTTTTTTCCGTGTTCTTTGTTTTGGGCTTGATTGAGGTCGGCTGACCATCTTAAAAGTAGCGGTTTTGAGACGATCCCGAGGTATACGGGCAATAAGCTGTGAGAATAACTTGCGGAGCGTGCTAGTAAACAGAGGAGTCGTTTCAGTTTTGTTTTATGAATGCTGTTTGTTGATGTGTATTAAAAAGAATTTTATTTCAGATTGATTTTAGTCAGTAATTTAATGGGTTACCAATACATTTATATGGTCATTTAGGGAATGAATTAGGTATCATGATAAGGTGTCACACAGCTAGAAGTCATTTGTCATGTGTCTTCAGGTCCACCTTTTTTGTGGAATAAGATCTGATCTCGTTAACACCTCTGTCAATTTTAAATAAAGCTGTGCTGTTCTGCTATGAATGAAACGTGGCTTTGGTTTCTGTGACTTTTTCAATAGCCTAGATCTAAACCACAGACTACTGTCATTTATGAGACAACAGCATTGTTCACCTCCACCCGCGTGAAGTAATATTTACCTCTGAAAACACAAGCCATAACCACACCAAACTAAATGCAAGTTGCAAACAGCAATTCACAGGGTTTACTTCACATTGGGGTTCATGTTTAAAACACTTTCAGACATTTAAACAAAAATAAATGTCAATTAATATTTAGCAATCTTTAATTAATAATAAGCAATATCTGTGATTGTTAGAGATTTGTACAGCACAGAATTTTTTTTAATGACAAATAATTAAAGCAGTTCGGATGTAGTGTTGTTTGAAAGAGGACATCTAATATATAATAAAAATTATGTATTAATTATTTTATTTATACATTGAACATCATATGAGGTATTAAAGCGCCCCCTAGTGCCGATTTCTTCCAAATTTAACAACAATTAATATTTTAACTACTGTGATGGTTAGGATTGGGGTGGGGGTAGGCATTACAAAATGCAATGTATTGGGTAATTTAATAGATAGCATAAATAATACTCGGTACAACTACAGTGCTGTGACGGTTGGGTTTAGGGTTGAGGTGGGTGTAGATGTTAATAAAATACAATAAATGGGAAATTTAATAAATAATACAAATAATTCTTGTTAACTTTCAGCCATATCCAATCTAGCAACAACAACCCTTTAGGGCATGAGGTGTCCAAACAAACCCAGTCCAAGAGGACCACCTATGTAAGCCTACACCTGTCTAGAGTGGACACCTTAAACCCTAATAACGCTCTGGTAAGCCTAATAACGCTTTAATTAGTCGGTTTAAGTGTGTTAACGTAGGATAGGAGCTAAAATTTCATCTTTCGGATGAGACGTTAAACCGAGGTCCCGACTCTCTGTGGTCGTTAAAAATTCCAGGATGTCCTTCGAAAAGAGTAGGGGTTCAAGCCCGGCATCCTGGCCAAATCTGCCCACTGGCCTCTGTCAATCATGGCCTCCTAACCATCTCCATATTCAATTGGCTTCATCACTGTCTCCTCTCCACCAATCAGCTGGTGTGCGGTCTGGTGCAAAATGGCTGCCGTCGCGTCATCCAGGTGGATGCTGCACACTGGTGGTGGATGAGGACATCCCCCCCATTGTGTAAAGCGCTTTGAGTGCCCAGAATAGCGCTATATAAATGTAAGGAATTATTATTATTATTATTAAAATAAGCCGGACCGAGAAAATCTTTTAGGTAATTTATTCCTCTAAGTTATTAACATGGTCCCACTGGTGCATTTGTTCCTTACACATACAAAACCTTTTTGAAGTTCTCCCATGCAGGCAATTGTGCTAAGACTGTGATCTATTCCCTGCAACATCAGGCCACAATCAGGTGTCCACAATCAGGTGGTTTGTCTTGGTCTGGCATCTCAGCTGAGACCTGTCCACTATGGGTGACCCTGCCAGTACTTGTGAAGTACCAGTGGTGAAGCTCTCAGTATCACTGATGCACAGAAGCCCTCACAGCACGTCAAGCTGCAAACCATGTGAGGGACCCTAACCTAACCTACCCTATACTAACCTATCACTGACCGACCAACACTCAGAGGAGTCCAGCAACTGACCAGCAACACTAAGAGACCGCTCAGAAAACCCTGCAAAGCGCATGTCAAAAACACAGAAAACTTTCCAAAACAACCTGACAGCCAGAACCCAAGAGCCACATCAGCAACCATCAAAACATTCAGCAGAGTGATAAAAACTTTGAATGAAAAGAAAACTTAATGTAAAGACTTACTCTATAACTATATACAGTATGTACATACGTGCCCTTGATCTTTCATGGGACACTATGATGGCTCAGTGTCTGGGCTTCTTTCTTCAGGGTTCCTCCTCGGGTAGTGGCTCTCCACTGATGTCCACGTGGATTTGAGGAGCGCTGCTGCTTCCGCTGGACCTGCTCTCCGTGATCAAGACTCGTCCATCAGGCAGCTCGGTCTCCAGCAGCGTAGGCCGGTGGAGCTTCTCCCACAACCGTTGCTTGATCCCCAGGCCTCGCTTGAAGCGGTAGCGGCTGCAGCCGGTCTCCACGACGGAGCGAAAGATGTGCTGATAGTCCTGCACGCTTCTGCCGTGGATGGAGAGCTGCTGCTCCTGCTGACACTCGTTCACTGAGGAAGACACTGATGCTGCTGCTGCTGCTGCTGCGGGACGGAGGACAGGGAGGGCCGCCGCGTTCATCAGGTGTCGCTTCTTCAGCGCTGGGTCAGAGATGCAGCTGTAGGTGTGATCTGACCTGACCGCCGCTGCGAGCTGCTCAACGGTAGAGACGCCCTGTAGCCAGAAGTGACTCGTGTGTGCGGGGAGAGCCCTGGTTCTTCTTGAGCGACGCTGCTCCATCAAGATGACCCAAGAACAACTTTCCAAAGTAGAGAAACTGATCAAACTTTTCAAAAGTTGTCGAGAGTTTGTTGCGAGACGATCGGGTCAGAACCAGCTGTGTATATTAAAGATCAACTCAAGTTGCTGTAGTGACAGAATGACGAGCCTCATTTAAATGTAAACAATATTTAATATCAGCAGTGAATTAATGAAATCAGCACGAACTCTGTGCTTTTATAATTGAGTTTTTATTAAATGCAGAAGCTAAATATCTAAACTATGATTATTCAATAAAATGCTGGTCTTATATTAATAAAAAATAAAAAATAAGCATAAATGGGCATTTTTTATAGGACGAATGTTGACCACTGAAAATCGTCACAGGTTTCAGAAATCTGGTCATGTTAGTGAATATTACCATTGATTTTTGTTTGCTTTTGGGATGGTTTGCGTTTCATTAAAAAAAAAACACTGAACTAATGTTCTCGTTTCTATATTTACTTCATAATTAACTAGGCCTATATCAGACCAACCGGGACTTTAGCAATGACATTGTTCTTTTGATGCTTTGTATACTTAAATTTTCACAATTTTCCTGCACTGACTGGGTGATTTAATATTTTTATAGTATTATTAAAATTATTAATCATAATAATGCTATAAGCAATACAATAAACCAAAATACATTCCAAAAAAAAATAAAAATCAAAAATATAAACCAGTATCAGATACAACGACAACCAGCATTAATAAGATTAAAAAAGCTAAATATACAACAGTTTATTTTGATTAGCTATTAGCTTATTAGGTCAGGGAAGTGCTAATCATTCATTCTGAGTGAAGGTTTTTATTTATTATTATTAAAATAGCTTTAAGAAACTTAAAACAACCATGCCAAATAAAAAATATGTAAATATGCGTGCCCTAAAACATATTGGTTTATTTGACTATGGCAATTTTATTTATTTACATTTTATTTAATGGTTTACTTTTAGGCTATCACAAAATATTAACCACTTTCATTGACCAATGTGCTCTCCAACAAATAAACAGAAAGGGAAACAGAAACTAAATAGTAAAAAATGTATTTGAAAACATAAAAGTCTATAATCTAGACCAAAAGATATTGTTGTACAGAGCTCGTCTTATTGACTGTGGTAAGGCTCATTTATACACATATATACTGTGTATAGAGGAAATTAGGATGCAATATTTCAAGTTTATTTAAAAAGCTGTGCATATCTTCAACATTAAATGAATATGAAATAAACTTTTTATAATAAAAACTGACTCCAGGATCATATCAATGTTTGAACTGTAGTTTACAGATTTGTATTTAAAATTGAATGGCAAAGCCACAAAACGAATAAAATAAACAAAAAATAGTGTGATGTGACAAATCTGATTAACAAACTAAAAATACATCATTAAAATAACAGAGAGGGAAAATTACAAACACAGGAAAAAAATTTATGTTTTTTACTTCCCAGTCCCAGACGTTCCTGAAATGTCATAATCACATGTCCAAGTGTTTCTTTACAACAGTAGTATGAAAATCGCCCCTGGTGGTGATGTGATCAGGACTGTAGCTGGAGAGGCAGGAAGTCAGGCCCGGCGCTACGGGGGGGGGCAAAGGGAGGCATTGCCCCCTCAGAAAGAGTTTGTGCCCCAATGTGCCAACAATCCCAATTTTCATAAGGGATTGTTTACTCAAACTGAAAATTCTTTCTGTCATTAACTATTAACACTCCCGTCGTTCCAACCGTCAGAACACACATCTAAATATTTTAAAATATTTGACATAGCAATTGAATTATGAAAATTGGTGAGATTAAAGCTAGTCCTAGTCCAGAGATCCGGTCCCCGCGTCAGGTCTGGTGCACCCGTAAATAGCCTTTAAAACGCGCACACGGCGATGGAGGCGCAGGTATTCATTTTTGTAGACTCAAAACCTTTGATGAAGTTCACTATGTACAGAGCATCATCAGAGCTTTTATTGTTTAGACATTTCTGCTGACAACTTCAAATTGACGAAACCTCTGTTCAGGATTTATGACTGGAATGAAATGATCTCCAAGCACATGTTAATTGTTCGCTTATTCCTTTAAACAGGTGGCTGTTAAATTTGTCCAGAAGACACCAAATAGTCAAGGTCTCCGCTCTGTAAGTAAAGTACACTTTCTGTTCTTTCCCTTCTCAGTCGCTGTGTTCAATTTATAATGTCTTATATTTATTATCGACATGCTGTGGTCTAAACCCCTTGTTTGAAAACCAACATTATTTTGTTTTTAGTCTTTTGACCAGCCACTTCCTCTTGAAATAACCTTGGCAAATATGGCCAGCAGTGGGTCCAGGTGTCCGAATATCATTCAGCTCCTCGATTGGCAGGTCTTTACAAACCATTACGTCATGGTCATGGAGCGGCCTACGCCAAGCATGGATCTGGAGGCACTCCTTCAACTCGGCAGAGGCGTCCTCAGCGAGAAAACGGCACAAACCATCCTGTGGCAAGCCGTTTATGCTGCCAATGTTTGCTGTTACCGTGGGGTATTCCACCGGGACATAAAGCTGCAAAACCTGCTTGTGAACCCAGACACGCTGGAGGTCAAGCTGATCGACTTCGGGTGTGGAGATTTCACGATGGAATCAGCATACAGTCACTTTACTTGTAGGTGTTTTAAGTAGTGTTGTGACCTTAAAAAAGGTCCATTTGAGCGCTGTTAAACACCACTGATTGGCCATTGGTGTTCACATGCTCAGCAAATATGACTGTGATGAGTGTCAGTATCAATTGGTACCAAAGTCGATACTTTTGACAACACTAGTTATGAATGTACATAATATACAATTTGAAAGCTGGTTAATAAGCACACCTGAAACCCATCTGGTATATATAACCAACATGGTGCTGTCACAGAGATTAAACTAAACGTCTCTCCTCCAGGCACAGAAGCATACATCCCGCCAGAGTTTTATGAAAGAGGATGTTACCGAGCTATACCAGCGACAGTCTATTCTCTTGGGGTTCTTCTGTTCACAATGCTTCATGGAGATTTCCCATCGGCGAATGTGTTGCACACACAGAAGAGGCAGAGATTTCTGGTAGCATCATAATATTGTATTTATTGTTTGTCACATTGCAAAATCTGAAATATAACAAAACACACACACAATAAGATGATGTGACAAGTGTTTCAGTGCTGGCAGTGTGACTTCTTCATGAATGCGTGAACAATGAACAGAGGAATACTCAAATAAACACTCAATTATACAATTTACCACTATAAAAAGACAATAAATAAACACACTCACTGCATTTCTCCACAAAATTATATACATTACCAATATCAGATCAATAGCAGTTATTAAACTCTTACTACATAAACAATAAACACAGTAACTATTTTAAATTACTTTATCATATCTATTTTTTTATACTCTCTAACATTTAAAAATATTATAAAACTGTATTAACCCATACTGTTTCAAAAGGTAAACTTCCACTAATTAAACTTTGTTAATCTATATGTATATCATGTTTATATGTATATTATATTTATATAATAACACGCGGCCTCTCTCACCGCGATCTCCATTTAGAGACGTCGGCGGCCTTAAGTGCGTGCGCGCGTGGCCGACTCGGCCGCATTTGTGCCGCGATTACGCTAATGCGGTTATTTTATACATATAAACATACATACACGATCCTCAAACACATTATTTACACTGTTAAACACATACTTAAACATAACCTTTCATGCCACATCATACATCTTACCTGTTATATTACCAAACACACGCAGAGAGAGAGAGATGCTGTGAGAAGTACTTAGCTTTGGCGAATTGGATTCTTTGTGCATATCGCCACCTACTGTACAGTTGACGCTGCGTGTTCAGCTCCTCCCCACTGCACACTGAACTCCTTAATCCATAGACTTGTTACAGATCACTTATTTCATTTACTTACATGAGTTATATTTTAGTTATATATTATTAGTGTATCAGTACTGGCTGTGTGACTTCTTAAGAATGCGTGAAACCTCCTGCGGCTCATGTATTGCTCACTAATCGCCCCCTAGCGTCACTCGCCAGGACATACAGGTTGACATTCAGATTAAAATGATGATGGGCATCCATACATTATAACTAACCAGAACTTATCGCAACACTAATACTAAATAATGACAAATCAATGCAAATATAACAGCTATATAATAAATTAAATGAACAGGCAGGCAGGGTTGGTGCCATGACCCGGATGGGAGTGAGTGTAACGGAGTCCAGCTAGTGAAGTGCTGTGCAGGTAAATAAGAAGTAAATGGCCACTTATAAGGATTAAATTCCGGTCCTGAGCTGCAGACCGACAAGGTTATGGAAATTATGACGCTGGATAATTTGACCCCAATGGCCTTCCATTCAAGAGACACTTGGGACATCTTGCATTCACACTGTCACTGTATTAGGACTGTTAGAAGAACTAGTTTTATCAACTAGTAGTTTGCCAAAAGTTTAATCAGTCTTTGTTTTTAGATTTAAATTGAGTAATTGCATAAGTTCAGTAACCAAGAGCTTTTAAAAATTCTGAAAATCAAAAACTAGCTCTTAAGACCACTCTAGGCAGTTTTTTAATAGTAATGAGCCTTCACCAGATAGGTTATATTTGATGTGCAAGCTGCTGTGAAAGGTACCAATGAATAACAAAAAATACGGATCAATCCTAAAAATAATTTATATTAACTTCTTTTCAAAAGCCTGTATCCTTATTATACCTGCTTATTATACCTGCTTCAGTGATTTAGTGTCTTCCTTGGAAAAACATCACACCAATACTAATACTATTAACAGTAGCATTTCTATGTGGTCACGCTGCAAATAAAAGCTGGGTTCCACTCAATTCTTTCATATTGTCGCAACACAAATCAGGTCATCAACAAAATTATTTTTTGAGTGTAAAGTAAGTAGCAATGCAAAGTAATATTCACCAAGACTATTTTGCAACCAATATATTACATTCAAGTTTAGAAATTGCATATATCTACTTTACATATCACTTGAAAACCACAACAGTAGAGGACATGCTTATCCTGCACATTTTTCATAATGCTTTTCCATTGCATCACAAAGATGTAAATAGATCTCAGAGCCATCTCTAACACTGGCCACTAGAGGTCCCATAATGGGTTACTTGGAAGCCGTCTAATATTATCCCTCACATGATCAACCTATTTTAAGTGTGGAAAAATATTCAGAGCCAGATGTTGGTAAACAAAATACACCAGACACAAGATTAGGCGTTATATACAAAAATAGTTTATAAACCATGCAGGCAGGATTTATATATATTCACCCACAACACACTCATTAAACACCTCAATTAAACCAAACAAACAACAAGAAAAAGAGATCTCCCCCCCCCCCCAAAAAAAAAATATATATGCAAGAAAAAAAAAGGATTATTAATTTGTTTGCAGCTCATCGATGCACTAACGTTTAGTCTGTGGTCTTACATCAGATATGTACACGTGGTTAACCCATAACCAAAATAAATACAGGATGCACGCATACATGTTTTTAAGATAAGGATAAATAATGTAACTCTCTGTAAAAAGGCAGTAAGCACAAAAAGGAAGGGTGTGGATTGGAATCTTTAAAGGTCTGTGGCGACGGACACCTCACTACGATCTAATGAGAGCTCTGGGAAAAGGCTCAATACGACCTCCGTTCCCAGAGTTTGGGCCCTTTTAAAAGCAGTGGATATCGAGATGTGTAAGCACTGTTAAAAACAACATAGACATATATTGCACACCTATAAAACAGAAAAGCAGTCTTTAATCTGGACTCTTAAAATAATATTCAGATCTCACTCTTATTTGAGGAGTGAACTGAAGCGCCACAGCTAGAACTACACTGCGCAAATTTACATAACTTGCGCAAGGCAATTTGGTGAAAGGGACATGTTGTTTTACAGCCTCGTAGTTTTTGTTTTTTAAGCCCTTATTTGTGCTGGTATGCAAGAATATATCAGACCCGAGTCTGAAGTTTATCCTTGATACCCTGATAGCACTTGATGTGCATTTGGCTGCAGTAACAGTCAGTCTTCTGCACTCAAGCTTCTCGTCCCTTTCTTGAAATCTTAAAGGATCACCTAAAAGCTTTCTTAATAAATACATCACTCACCTGTCACAATCTGCGTCAAACAACAACCTTCCAATAATGCACTTTATAAAAAACAAATCTCACAGTAATGTCCTTTCGAAGAAAGCCATGACCTTTGCCTTTTGTGCCGTTGATGAAGTCATTATGGTTTTTGGCAGCTTTTTTTAAAACTATCTCAAGGTCCTCAATTATAAAATACGACTCCAGGTGCCATACGGGCAGCAAGTTTTAAAAAAAGTTAACATGGAGGTAGTGGGGCAGGGCTCAGCAGGGCAAGGCCCACGTGAATAGATCCAGCCACATGTTTTTTTTTTTTTTTTTTAGCATAAAAAAAGTGAAACGGTTTTATTTGGACCAGGCACTGACGATATTCAGGCACACAGCTCCCGCTCTCCTGATTGTCCTTATAATACTCTATATGTATGTTTTCAATAACCCTCCCGTTCCCTAAACACCCCCTCTTCTCTTCCATCTGAAGCTGTGGAATGAACTACGTGTGGTGGATCTCATGGAACATCAGTTCACGTGGGATCTGCGTCTCTGGGCCGTACAGCTTGGATGCCCGTCGCTCGAAGGCAGATACCATTTGCTTCACGACCTCATCGAAGAAAACGGTGGCCAACTGAGAATGCAGGAGTGAGCGGAACTCAAAGGAAATCTGGGAACAGACAGAAGCAAGCCATCAGCATTTGGCAGACGTTTATGTAACTAACATTAACAAGAGCTCACAAGTACAGTAAAACCTATAAACCTTTCAAGACATGCCTAATGTGAGCTCTAAGGTTGTTAAGTGAAAGTACAAGCTTGTGTAAAAGTCAGCGCATCTTATAAACAACATGACCACAAAAATATTTCAGTTTCAAACTCCGGAAGCATTGAAATAATTTGTTGGGTTGTGTTTCAGAACAGGACCAATGCAGTTACTATAAAAATCTCCAAAGCAGTATGTTTTGTAAGGCAGGATTTTTTTTTTTTTTTAGAAACTTTGAATAATCGATTCAGTTACTGTCCTGTTTTGAATACTGGGAAGCCAAGCTGTTCTGAAACAATATTCTATAAAGCACTATAAAAAATAAACTTGACAATCAGATGTTAAAATTCATGAACGATTTTACTCATCTGAGATCTGTGGTTTAAATTTTGACTATAAGAATGTTCGGTAATACTTTACAATATGGGCATGTTGTTCATGTATTTACAAACATAAACAAACAATGAGCAACACATTTATTACAGTATTAATGCATTTTTGTTAATGTTGGTTATTAAAAACAGTTTTTCATTGTTAGTCCATCTTAACTTCATGAGAATCTAAAATATTATTGAACTATTATTAACTGTATGGTTTCTATACCTTTCACTCATTTCACCTTTAAAATTAAAGAATTTTTTTACATGTATTGATCTAAATATCGACATCAATACAAACAATTATTATTTATTATGTTTGTATTGTTTATTTTTTGTGACCATATCATCCAGTAAAACGAAATATTCACAGAACTTCTAAAATAATTCTGCTCCACTATTATTTCCCTTCTATTGGTACACTAAGGCCTGGTTTTTACTTCTGCGTCAAGTGATCAGCGTGACCTACAGCGCATACAATGCACGTAGCTGTGCATTTATACTTCTGCATGCTGTTTCTGTTGCTCTGCAATAACACTTCCGAAACGCTAGTTGGCAGTGAGGTGTTTATGTTCCTCTGTGTCAAGTTTCTTCGCTGGTGTTTTGTTTTTTCTGAACGCTTCCTTAATGTACAAGTGGCTCAAACTCACTCACTTTGAGGCAGGAACCAGCGGACGTGCAACAACTTTAACCATAAGGTAAACAAAAAAACAAAACTTTCCATCCGGAGCTCCTTCACGAGACTCCAAACTTGTAAACAATCGCTCCTTCGGGCTTGCACAGCTCTCGGTCCTACCCTGACTCGTCACTGCTACCAAGCCAAGCAATCACAGAGCTTGCGACTTGTAGTTACATTTTTTGAGAGGTGCTCGTCAGCGACGCCGACAGCCACGGCGTAGGGCTATGCGTCACGCATAGGCTGCACCGTAGCATACGCGTGTGCTTCATGCAGAGGTATAAATCAGCCTTCACCAGTCACTTTATTAGGTACACTTTTCCAGCTGCTTGTTAACACAAATTTCTAATCAGCCATAGCTGATTAGAATATCCAGTGAGCGGCAGTTCTGTGGGCGCAAATAGCATGTTGATGCCAGAGGTCTGAGGAGAATGGCCAGACTGGTTCGAGCTGATAGAAAGGCAACCATAACTCAAATATCCACTCATTACAACCAAGGTATGCAAAAGAGAATCTCTGAATGCACATCACATCCAACTTTGAGGCTGATAGGCCACAGCAGCAGAAGACCACACTGGGTGCCACTCCTGTCAGCTACGAATAGGAAACTGAGGCTACAATTCGCACAGGCTCCCCAAAATTGGACAATAGAAGATTGGAAAAACTGTGCCTGCTCTGATGAGTCTCTATTTCTGCTGCGACATTCGGATGGTAGGGTCAGAATTTGGCGTCAACAACATGATAGTATGGATCCATCCTGCCTTTTAGCAACAGTTCAGGCTGGTGTTGGTGGTGTAATGGTGTGGGGGATAATTTCTTGGCACACTTTAGGCCCATTACTATCAATTTGAGCATCGTGTCAATACCAAAGCCTACCTGAGTATTGTTGCTGAACATATCCATCCCTTTATGACCACAGTGTACCCATCTTCCATGTCATAAAGCGCAAATCATCTCAGACTGGTTTCTTGAACATGACAATGAGTTCACTGTACTCAAATGGCCTCCACAGTCACAGGATCTCAATCCAATAGAGCACCTTTGGGATGTGGTGGAACGGAAGATTCACATCATGGATGTGCAGCCGGCAAATTTGCAGCAACTGTGTGATGCTATCATGCCAATATGAACCAAAATCTCTGAGAAATATTTCCAGTACCTTGTTGAATCTATGCCACAAAGGATTAAGGCAGTTCTGAAGGCAAAAGGGTGTCCAACCCGGTACTAGTATGGTGTACCTTTTAAAGTGGTCAGTGAGTGTATTTAATAATCAAAAGCAGTCTCAGTAGGTTAGAAACTGGATTGTGTTTGTAAAACTCACAGCGAAGTCGAGTGTGCATGTACGTGGGTAGCCAGGAAGGCCAGGACTGAAGCGCCACACTGTCTCCAGGTGATTGAAGAGTTTTCCATCAGAGCAAGACGCCTTAAGAACAGAAGTTACAAATGAACTGTAGCACATACACTGGATTAACAACATATTGTTTAATATTGTGTTTGCCACTTAACCACTGCCATGTATTAAACATATCAGATCTTTATTATGCAATGAAACGCTGCACATACCTTGACCAAATGAGGGCGAACTGTAGAAACGAGAGAGGTGTAGTTTTCTACCACAGGAGGGAAGCCTACAGTCAGTTTAGCTTTGCAAAAGCCTGAGCGGCGGAAAATAACATCTGATTTCTTACACCAGGGCACGAATAGCAGGTAGTCTTCAACTTTGGCCACAACCTCATACATTTCCTGCATTGAGTACCTGCGTGTCACAAAGAATAGATTGATGAATTGATGAAAGAATAGATGCCTGTATGTGTGTGAGAGACAGGGCAAAAGAGCGCTTGCTTGACAGCTCTGTTGATGCTGCGAGCAGCAGGGTTTCTTTCTTTCTTTATTTTGGAGATAATACAAAATATGAATACAGCAGAAAGACATAAAACTTTACAAATTATGTGTTTTACTTTTGTAGGCTCAACACAATAGTGTCAAATCAAGATAAAAATCGCCCAAGTTGAAATCATTTAAAGAATTACAAATATCCGTTATAATAAAATTACATTAAATTAATAAACCAATATAAAACAAACAAATGCTATAACAATGTAGGTAAATACAATACATAAATTAAACCCTTAAGCCATTTTAAACTTTCATTTCACAAAGATTTTAGATATTTTCTTAAAAACAATAAACGATGGAAGAGTTTTGAAATATTATTTACAAAGTATTTATATATGACTATATTAATCAAATTGTGCAAATAAAGCAAAACCAGAAACTACTTTCTTTTCTGTCATCCAGTCCTATGCAGTTCTGCTTTAAAAACTGCAAGTAAAATGTGACTCAAAATGTGACCTTAAACAAGTGTTTGTTTTTATATGACGTGGTAAATTTAAAAAAAGAATTTTTAGGTGTAGAGCTTTATAAGTGGATAGCTGCCGAGCGCAACAAAATATACAGGCTATATTTTATGACTTTCTCTTATGTCCTGAAACACTTTACTAAAGATAACCGAATAATATGCAACATCCTTAAATTATTCTCTAAAATAAAAGGGAATTACCCATTAAGTGTCGTATAGCCTAGGGAAAAACTTATGTTTTAGGTCCCTCCAGAGCATTTGGGCTGAATGTTTGATGATGTCTATCAAAACGAGGATGTTATAAAATACATTTTATCCAGAGTTATTACCGGAGACTTTGTGGTTTTATATTATGAATTATGCACTGGGTCCCTTCGTTAGTAGCAAGACCATTTGATGACCGATGCTAACAGTCAGTTGGCGATTAGCCTAAACAAATATAATGAAAGAAAATACATAGGCCTGTGCGTATAGACATAATGTAATGCTGTACAGTAAGATGTAATTTGTTTGTATCATTTGTTTTCATTTTAATCACATTGTGATGATGCGATTGTGTGCTTTATCTGCCTGCCTGATTCCCACTGAACTGGAAGGGTTTTGTGACGTTTGATTCGGGGGACGTTCTGGGGGCGGCATTTGCATGACTACTAGCCTGACAGTGGAAACGCAATATGATTTCGACCTCACTGCTAAACATCCTGGGCGATTGGCCTGGCCCGGCCCGATAAAAGCCCTGGCTTGCACTGGCCCGACAGTGGAAATGCCGCTATTAGCACTGACAACATTTGCTCTGCAAACATGTTAATGTGAATAAAAAATGTATTTATTTCAAGTGACAAACAAATAAAATAATCTAAATACTTTTTAAATTAATTTTAGTTTACTGAATTTAAAAAGTGTGGAGTTAGGTGGCCAAGTGCAATTCTGTTGTCATTATGTAATGCATTAAAGAGCATACATGAAGAATGAAGAATCTCAACAACATATCGGATGGGCCGTGTTCTGGAATGTTTTTATACATCTGCATAGCTATAGAACATAAATTCATAGACCGCAGACAAGATCTTTCTCATATTCTTTAGGCCAATCTCGGCCCTGGAGGGCCGGTGTCCCTGCAGGGTTTAGCTCCAACTTGCCTTAACACACCTGCCTGGATGTTTCAAGTATACCTAGTAACACCTTGATTAGCTTGGTTAGGTGTGTTTGATTAGGGTTGGAGCTAAAATCTGCAGGACACCGGCCCTCCAGGAACAAGTTTGGTGACCACTGCTTTAGCCGTACATTTTCTGCATTATTGCTGGAGATAAATGTTCCAGGCAGATACCTAAAAAGCTGACACCATAAATATTCCCATGCCCTGTTACATAAGGGTCAGAGTAATGACAGACCTCAATAAAAACTAAAATTAGCATTAGATCATGCATCACGTCCAACATGGTTGGGAACATACCCAATAATGCGTCTTTCAGAGTACTCCTTCCTCTTGTTGAATGACTCTGCAAAGTTGAAGAAGCTCCTGGCTGGAGCCACCACTGCACGACTTGATACAGCCCTGAAGAGGGGCGGCGCCCTGGTCATCAAGATCCCACATGAAGACAGATATCTGTTGACAAAACAGGGTGAAAGTCTGTCATTCAGACACAGCATACTCAATAAAGACACGTAGCGGCATTGTACAAGACTTTGTGTACATGCAATGATAAGTATGATGATTTAGGCCCTGTTTGCTTGTTGAATGCCTTAACATAGCAGACGTCTCCTGAGTCAGATAAGAGTTGAGAAAACCTATCAACCACAAAGATGGCTGTGTGCAATTAACAAGATTACAACTCTTAATCAATACAGAGCCCTTTCTCCTGAGAATTAGTGAAAACAATTACTTTCTGACCTTAATCTAAATCCCAAAAAAATGTTTTCTGACCTGAAAAAACAAACATAAATCTAGACTAGATGACTGGAAAATTGACATGTTTATACTGTCGTCTTTTCAGGCTAAACACACAATATTAACTCACAAAGTCTCACCAATTTAGAAGTTACTAGAGCAATAACATTCCCATACGTCATTTTCACAGCACAATAGCATATGTTTTTAATCAAAGGCACAGCATTTGAAAGTACACTCCATATGATGTTGTTTACGGCATCTGTGCACTTTCTGCCTTCAAAAACTGTAATCTATAGATTAGAATAGGGCTTTGCGTATCCTTCTCTTGAGAAAAAAATTGACTCTTATTTACTAAAAACAGATCAATAGGTACATATAAAAGCAAAGTATATATTGGGTTTAGGTCTGAAATATTCTTTGGTGAATCACAATTTTTTTTTACTGACCTTCAGTGTCCCTTGTCTCAATATGCATGCATGTTTGTAGATTAGGACTGCATGATATTGGAAAAATCTAACACTGCTATATATTTTTTATTCTGCGATATGTATTGTGATATACATACAATTTCACTAAATTAGTTGAAAAACTATGTAAAAAGAATTCATTTTAAATAGATTGTGATGATTCTGTAGGAGATACATACTGTATGCATCAAACATATGAAACTATTTACAAGCATAGATAAATTCAATAAAAAAAGATACTTATTAAATAAACACGATGTTTTTTTCAATGAGTGAAACTGTATTCAGGAGTACAGTAATTGAATAATCAAATGTAAAATAATACTGCATAGTCTTCGTTTTATTAACAATTTAATCGCTGTTTATTTGTTAAAATTACAAACGATACAATTTCTTAGGCCTAAATGCTTTTGAAACCCTCACACAGTCACAGGCCTTAAAAACACTTGCGAAATGATCAATTATAATCCAGATTTAACATTGCATATACTTGTGACCATTTTGAATGATCACATTGCAATATCGATGCTGAAACGATATATTGTGCAGTCCTAATGTAAATGCAACGTATGTACATAGTTTATTTTTATGGAACATTTTTTACAACACAATTTTGCTTCAAAGAGTTGAACACAATCAAATCAATATGTAGCAAACTTTCTGTACTTAAATGGGAAAAGAATGGTTGTTCATATGTGATGAATTATATTTTAGAGACTTTTAAAACTCAATCAAAATGTATATAAACTGAAAAGTGTAAGAAACACTGGCACATGCACTATTAACTTACATGTGCCCTAACATGCAACTGAATAATTGTTAATAGAGGATATTACAACTATTATTAGACAGTTATTATTTTGTAAACATTAGTCAACGGTAGCAAATGATTGCATTTAAGAACAGCTGAAATAATATACAATGCTATATAAAAAATTTTCAAACATGTTTGCAGGTGTGAAATGGTGTAGAGAAAATGTAGCATTTAGGGTCTTCTGTATTGTCCTAATTGTCATGCTCTGGCTAATTAAATTTAGAAAGGCTCTGACTAACCAGCTTTTGAAATGCAAATGGGGAGCTAAAAAAAAGCCAACTGTGAAGCAACCGGCCATGCAAATCAGACCACAAAAGCAGTCCAGACGTAAGCGGTTGTGTATTAGTGTAGTTCTTGGTTCACATAGTTCATCATTAACTACAAAATCATATGTTGCTGAGTGTTCTTTCATGCGGAGAAAATATAGCACTTCATGACATGTTCACCTGCCCTCCATTTGTCAAGACACAAATCACAAGGAGAGCATGATTGCTGATTCGCTGACCAGTCCAATCAAGTCAAGGGCAGTAGTAACACCCCATCCCATAAAATGTGTCCAACGTGTTTCAGATCAATCACTGAAATGCAATGGGATGGGGCTTTGCTCTATAAATGGCACAATATCTACTCAATGGAAAGAGAGGCAGCCAAATTCATTCATGTTAGCACAACTGTTGCCAAGAGCTGTTAAGCATGGCGTAACGGTGTCAGCCAATGGTGATGGAACAGTCACCATCAGACACTTGAGACGGCCTGCCTTATGCAACTGGTTTAAGCACTTGGCAGAGCCAAGCACTCGGTATGGGTACACTACGTCCCTGACCACAGGTAATAAACGTCACAGCTTAGCTAGTGACGTCAGATATGCAGCAGTCTTCTTTGAACTCATACCTGCAAAGGTGTCAGGAGAAAATTTAATAAAGGACTCACCTTTGGATTATATGCACATGAAGGGTGCCACTTCTAAAAGTTTACTGTTTCCCTAATAAAAACTACTGACTGTGTCTGATATGTAGCTAGTTTACAAAAAAAGCAGCTAAATACTGTTTGGGAGCAGCTTTTTCAAAAATTACAAACTCCCACTTTTCTGCAATTTCCCTTTAGTTGTATGTGATTTCAGAGCTGTATTAAATAAACACTAGCTGTATACAGCTCATTAACGGTCATTGCAAAAATGAGAAAAGCGCTTGCTAGATACACCTGGACAATTACATAATATCTTAACCTTGCTACTGACACTTTATCTGGCAACCAGATATGTGACTCCCACCCACCCAACCCTCCCTCTAAAGTTTTTTAAACACTTATTAGAGCACGTCAGAATGTTTAAACCATTGTTGAACTATTAATAAGGTCTTCATTTACATAAACTTGTCAAGTTGGCCTTAAACAGGATCCACTTGTAAGAGCGAAACTAACCGTCCAAATATCGTCAGAAGCTCGCGACTTACTTCACTGCGTTACTCAGTTTAGTCTTCAGATAACCGCACAGAGACAGTGCGAAACATTAAACCGTCTTTAATTACCTCACTCCACTCTTCCCTGGTGTTTCTCGACCGGCTGTGGACGGTAAGTTTCTGATACACTCCGCTACCGCTCTCCTCAAACACCGGGAGCCTCTCGCCATCTTCACTTCACCTCTCTTTCGCCTCCTCCCGTCGAGAACTCTTTTCCCGTCTCGAAGACCAGCCCTCTCGAAGACCCGTCCTACAATGTCATTGGCCGAGGCTGTTTTTCACGGCCTCTGATTCGTTGAGTCGTCCGTCCGTCATCGATGACACTCACTGACGTAAGTGTTTTAATTGTGCAGAGGGTTTGCGTGCGCAGAATTGTCACGGGATGCAGGATAGGGTTGCCCAGACTGCGCGACCTACAGTGCATAGTTAGTAAAGGTTACTGCTAAATTTGTTTGAGGACACAGTCAGTGTAAACGAATTAATAAGTTTTGCTTACTATAAAGTATTATAATTAACAAATATGTAAATTAAATAATATTTATGCATATCTGTCCAGTTAAGTTACAATGAAATTGCTACTAAACTACTGTTGCCATTACTGTTATCGTCACAGAATTTGATAGTAATATAAGTTAGTCCTAAGTCAATTAAATATAATATGGAGCAGTTTTTCACAATGTAAAGTAATTACACATGTATACATTTTAAACTTCATGATAATAAAGACAAAATATAATCATTTTTGTGCAAAAGACCCCATCCTAAAATGTAAGACACCCAGACCACATAGTTTCTGGAATAAATACCAAATTTATACATTGAACATGTTGAACATACTATAAATAGATCTAAAATAGTATTTGGAATATGCTTATGTTTCTATTATGTTACATTATTAAATATTTACTTATTTTTTATTATTTAAATTATTAATTATTACTACTATATGTACTAGTTTCTCCATTCCTTCCCCCAAACATTTCCATAGAACCCCTAGCTAAAACTTCCTTAACTCAAATTTAAAACCCCCTGATTATGTAACCATACTGCTTTTTAAAACTGCAGTCAAATCTGTCTTACATGCGCCTGTAACATAAGCATTCAAAACAACAGAGAGCACGGTTTTTATGTAATACTATTTAAAATATTTAAGCTAAAATGACCGTAGTGCATGTGTTTGAATGCAAGAGGGCTTCCTAGTGTTGTGTTGCTGGAAGGGCATCCGCTGCATAAAATATATGATGGATAAGTTGGCGGTTCATTCCTCTGTGGAGACCCCTGATTAATAAAGGGACTAACCCCCCCCAAAAAAGAAAATGAATTAATGTTTCGAAAGAGACACAAGTAAACTTGTCCTGTTCTCATTCCTCCTGAAAAAAGTTTGGTCTTTGCCACATAAATATGCTATTAATTAAGTTGTTTGGTTCATAAATAGCCTTATTCCATTTTATCTTGTTAATCTATACCTTAGAGTCTCTAACTAAAAACAACAAGCAAACATTTGGAAAATCCTCCACTCCGTTGTGGCTCTTTCCTCAAGCAGAGCGGGGGGTAAACTTAACAAGAGAATGCTGTCACTTGCCAGCTGTGTTGACGCCTAGTGCTTGTGCTCTGCGCATGTGCGTTATTTTCTGCCGCAGAGAATGCGCATGCGCGTTCTTGTAAACGAGACGCTGTCGTGAAAGGCCTTCCGGTAGTGAGGCTTACACAACAGCACGAAAATGGCGCAGATCGCCAAAACACATGATGGTGAGTTTAGGTTTCAAATATTTGCAAGAAGCATGTCTCGTTTTGTAGTTTTTTATATATTGCATTTTGTGCTTAATGCCACTTTTTATTTAAAAGAAGTGCATTAAGCGAGAAATGAGCAGGATTAGAACTGGCTAAGCCCGTGAATAGAATATGGCGTCTGGTCGTTGAATAAAACCTGGCCGTGGCGCACATATAAAATATCAGCGCTTTTTCCGCATTAAGAGTTTTTTTGTGGATTATAGCAGAGCTAATTGTAATATACAGTGCTAGAAAATAGCATTAGCATGTGTCTGTTTTGTCTATGTAGACTACGTAATGTGAAGATGTACTGGTTAATCAGTGATGTATTGAAACCAAAATGGCGTTGCAAACACAAACAGAGCTTTTCCATTATGTAGGTATGTTCATAGACGTTTACTTGTGATAGTGTGGTTATTTATTTTATTTTTGTAGAGATGTAACTTGTATTCATTGTTTAACGTTTGGCATTTTCCATGTTTATGTATAACACATGGCCGTGGGTGATTGTCCTGCAACAGTCATTATGTTAAGCGGGCTTACGCACTTTTGTTATATTAATACATTATGCAATGTTTTTATGACAATACCTAAGTAATAATAAAATATAAGTTACATCTCCCTTCACGTATTAGTTATAAATATTTGTAAGGATTTTATATGTATGTAGGGACTTCTTTTTGTCTTAATATTGTGCATGTATGGTTTACAAATCATTGTCTTAAATTGAAGAGTTAGGATTCAAAAATCTCTAAATGCCAACTTGTCTCCTAAAATGAGAATTTTGTTTCAGCCTCCTTGTTATTTCACTTTAAAGTCAATGAAAATAACTTATTCATTACTATAACAGTAACATTACTGAGCCTACACACAGGAGTTAGAGAAAAATGCTAATTGAAGAAGAATATCAAGCGGCATGTAGAGATTTTTTGCATATAAAACTCATCGATTGTTGATTTTAATAATATAGTTTCAGAAAAAGAATTTTTGCAAATTCTTAGTAGGGAAGGCATATGACTGTCAATTAAATAGTGCTACTGTTTTTTTTATTATTCTTTAGGGTTAGATTAAATCTCTTGTGTTAGTTTAGACTGAATATTCATAGCACAGTAAACAATATACAGGCCATAATATAAATATAAAAATATAAAACCAGATTTACCTTAGTTTGTTCTATTAATAGAATATGCAGTTTAATGTCAGTGTGTATTAAAGGTTCCGACTGTATGATAACCTTGGATAAAAGTTTGCAATTACTGCTCTAAAATAAGTTCTTTTTAAATATCTGTTAAAAAACAAAAACATTTCACTTTGAACACAATATATATATATATATATATATATATATATATATATATATATATATATATATATATATATATATATATATATATATATATATAGGTACAGACTTCATTAGTTAAAAAAAAAAACAGATTTCTTTAAAATTTAAATTTGGCATCTTTGGAGATTTTTTTTCTGCTAGAGATACTGTTGTCCTAAAAAAACGAAACGTAAAAAAAATCCTACGTTACAGAAAAATTTGGTGTTTTTTTTTAAACCTTGACATTTCCAAACCACGGTATACCTTGAAAAAGGTTATTGTCCCATGCCTAACATGTATAAAAGTGACGTTAGTGATGGTGGAAAATGACTTCCAGGTCACCTCACCTATTATAATATTAGTTAAAATGTTTTTTGTTATTTTTAGAGGACTAATCTCTGGTTGTTGTTTTTTGTTTTTGTTGTAGACATTGAGGCTCAGATCCTGGAAATCCAGGGGAAGAAAGCCGCTCTGGTGGTGGAGGGCGGTGACCAAGGAGTTGGCCTTGATTCCACTGGGTATTATGACCAGGAGATCTACGGGGGCAGTGACAGCCGCTTTGATGGGTATTTGACTTCAATTGCTGCCAATGAGCAGGAGGATGTAAGTTATAGCATAACGCTCTTAAAAGTAAAACAAAAAATACAACTCCATTGTGTATAAGAATTCTGTTTAGTTTCTTGAACCTAACCCCAACTATTTTTATTTTAGGATGATGACGAGGATTCATCTACAAGTCTCCTTGTACAGAAGAAACCAGGATATCATGCTCCGGTTGCAATACTCAACTCAATTCCTCAGTCAGATGAGCAGGTAATTTAACAGACTTTCCACCTTCAAGTTGCAGTGTGTGTGTGTGTGTTTTCTTGTGAAGTTTTTGTATGTGTTTTTGAAATGTCAATTTCGAATTGATCATACAATTGTTTGTACCCATTTTGCAGTATGATCCCTTTGCCGAACACAGACCGCAGAAAATTTCAGACAGGGAGGATGAATACAAGAAGCGCAGACAAAAGATGATCATCTCCCCAGAGCGTCATGACCCGTTTGCTGATGGTAAATTTCACACTACCATTCTCCTCTGCTTATTTTATTTGCCCATGCCAATCAGTATTTATGTTCTCTGCCCATGACGATCCGGTGCAGACCGGCCTTTTTTGCTGCTTAACCCTTCGAACACCACCCAACTGCTTGCTCCCTGGACTGATCTGTAAAGGCCCTGATATGTGCTCAGCGAAGTCTTTGAATTTTTCTTAAAACTTTCATTTAAGGATAAAATAAGTGTAAAATACTTGAACAGTTCTGTTCTGTTAGTAAATTCTAAACCACTCAGGCCACTCTTTATAATAATATATGGTGTACTGCACGTTTAACAAAATAAATATAAATTATAGAATTAAGAATACAGCATCTAATAATGAGGATATTTATATGGGATTTACAGTTCAATCAAAAGATTTACTGTATATCTGTTTATACATTAAATCATTTTAAAGGAAGCGGCTTTACAGTATTAAACGTGACAAACAACAGTGCCAGTGTTGCAACTTCAAACGAACTTAAGATTTTATTCGAAAGTAGTTTTGAGTTCTTTGTTCTTCAATTTCATTTAAGCAATATCAGGGCCTTAAAGGGATAGTTCACGCCAAAATGAAAACTTTCTTACTATTTACTCACCCTCAAGAGGTTTCAAAGATTTTTTTTCTCTAGAACACACAAGATGATATTTTGAAGAAAGCTGAGAATCTGTAACCATTGACTTCCATAGTTGGAAAAACAAACACTATGTAAGTCAAGGGTTGCAGGTTTCTAATGTTTTTCAAAATAAAGGTTTGAAACAAGTCATTCAAAACATAATTTTTGGGTGAAATATCCCTTTTAAGACTGTCTCAGTAAGGCATAAGTGGATAAATGAAATGTACTGAAAAATATTGATGATGGATTTATATGTGTACTTGTTTAAGTTGGGCAGCAAAGATTTTGGGAGACGGTTGGGTGGTGTCATTGGTCCCATCATGGCATAGGTTGCAGGTAGGTGTGTTGTTCGAAGGGTTAATGTTTTTAATGTGTGAAACAGATGATACAGTAGTCAGGCAACTTAAACACAGACACTGTGTAGTATATGAAAAGTTTCTAATTGCCAGAGACAGCATACTGTCAGATTTATTTTTCCCCCCATACTATTGCCTGCATATTTTTCAATGGTTAGACACCCCTGATGTGTCAATGTCAGTAATGATTCCCAATAAGAGTGGAGCTTTAAAGCCCTGTGAAGCCAAATTTAACTCCATTTATGTTGTCCAGATAATTTAGTATCTTAAAACCGATGGCCTGTGGGTGCTCATACCAGTACAATTTTACAAGAAGTTTAGATCATGTTTAAACAGGCTGCACACTCACAAAACTGACTCACTTGGGACCAAATTATGGGAGGGCAATAATTCTGGATCAGGCAAATCATCTTGCATGTAGTCCCAGACAGAGGAAGCTTTACAAAAACTGTTGTGTAAATATATTTCTATTTTATAATGATAAAATAGAGATATATCTATTGAAGAATCTGTGTACCAAGATTCCACAGGCCCATACTAACTGTCCTTAATTTCTCTCCTACAGCAGTACTGCTATGCCAGTCCTGTCTGCACTCTCTTAAGGGTGCAGCAACTCGTCCTGTGTAGGTTATGGTCAACAAAAAGAAGCGTGTTTATCAGATAAATCAAGACCATAGTTAGTAGTTTTTGCTCTGATGTGAGGCCAGAGAGCCTTTCGGGGGAATGCACCATGATTTCATCAAGCTATTTTATTGATTTAGTTTTACTTTTGTTATGTTTCACATTATTTTTAAAGCCTCATCGGGGACTTTTTTTAAATTCCATATTCACTTTTTTCATTTCAACTTACTTTTAGACAAATTCATCTTAGTTTAAATTTTATTTAATCTAACCAGATGCACACAAGTGTGCTTTAAGTCATTGATTAGTTTCTGATATTTTGTTTCTTTTCTGATTTGATTAGAACTCCCCAATGTGTTCAGTGTCTTTGACTGTAACACCTATAGTTTATTAAATGTATATGATTTTTAAGTCGGTTTTTGAATACTACATGGTTTTCCCCTTTTCTTGTTTGTAAATGAGTGACGAGCAGAATAGGTGGTATGCTATTTTGTGTGTGAGTACAAACCCTTTTCCAAAGTGTTACTAATGGTAAAGAGAAATTTTCTAGGCTTCTTTTCTGCCGGTTGAAGTCTGACTGCAGAGGGACCCTTGGCACTGAAAGTGTACGTATTCTGGAGAGCACAGCCCAGGACCCTGCATCAGTGATGGCTATATCCTCTCCTTATCTCCTCTTAAAAGCAACAGAAACCTCTTTGTACCTGCCTGTTCTTAATGTTTGACTGTAATGAGTGCTTAGCTTTTATTGCATAGGGTTCTTTTGTGTTATGAGAGGACAGTAATTTAAACATTAAAGGCCATCTATTCAGGGACACTTGACTGTAGTGCTTTGTGTGTGAAAATGCTGGTTTTGAGATGCACTTGGCTGACCGTTTCGCATCTTGTTGGTGCTCTTTCGCCTAGGGGGTAAAACACCGGATCCCAAGGTGCAGGTCAGGACGTACATGGATGTTATGAAGGAGCAGCAACTTTCCAAAGAAGAGGTAAGTTCTAGCACTTTGGTGAAATGTCTGTAAGATGCTACTGAAAAAAAAAAGTCACAAGTGTCTTAAACTGTCACTGTTTCTCTTGGTTTACAGAGAGAGATCAGACTACAGATGGTAGAGAAAGCAAAAGCTGGAGAGCTGAAAGCAGTGAATGGCTCCGCTGCATCTCAGGCCGCGGCCAAACGTAAACGTCGCTGGGACCAGACTGCTGATCAAACCCCCAGCAACTCAACACCCAAAAAAGTGTCCAGTTGGGACCAAGCAGACGGAGGTTCTGAAGTGAGTCGATAACAACATTTGGTCTGCAGCAAATGGATATTTTGATTGTTCAGATTTTCATGAAAAATAATTACAAATTCATACAAAGACAGATTTTATGTATCTGATCTGCTTGGAAGACTATGAAAAAGTCAATATTTAAGTAGATGCTGATATACAAAAAAGTAAATGTGTAAATATCCTATAATACAAAAAAAAAACTATTGCTTTTTATTTGTGTAGTATAATTCGAAATTATAGTATAATTCAAAAAGTTGTTTAGGAAAAGTCTTGAGGACCCTACGGGACCCATGTTCTCCAGTGAGGAAAACTATTGTTTAGGGGTGAATTTCTCTAGTAAAGTAATGATCAGGCCCCTTTGGATGTTTGTAGAATCCCCCTAATTTGTCTGTGTCCTCCTGATTAAGAGCCATGGATTAGAAATAAAGCATTACAATGCCACTTAAGAATTTTTATAATGCTGTGAGATTTTTATTTTGTTACTTAGACACCAGGACACACACCAGGGCACACACCCTCCAACAGTCGTTGGGATGAGACCCCTGGCCGTCCCAAAGGTAGTGAAACCCCAGGAGCCACTCCTAGCACTCGTATGTGGGAACCCACACCTAGCCACACCCCAGCAGGAGCTGCCACACCAGGCCGAGACACACCTGGACATGCTACGCCAGGCCATGGAGGGGCCACTTCCAGTGTGCGCAAGAACCGCTGGGATGAGACACCAAAGACAGAGAGAGGTCTTTAATAGTTTTTTTTTGTCTAGTTTGATGTGTAATCTGCAAATAGAGTGGTTTTTAAACCCTTTGTTTTGTCCGTTTCAGAAACACCTGGTCATGGCAGTGGCTGGGCTGAAACCCCACGTACAGACAGAGGAGACGAGTCGGTGGGTGAGACGCCCACTCCAGGTGCAAGCAAGAGGAAGTCAAGATGGGATGAAACACCAGCCAGCCAAATGGGCTCTTCAACTCCCCTGCTCACCCCTGGAAAAACCCCTCTGGGTACACCTGCTATGAATATGGCCACGCCCACTCCAGGTACATGACCAGTGCTGTTGTTTAGCTTAGTTTAGTTTGTAATTTAAATAATTGTTGTTTTGTGGAAGTTGCTTTAAAGGTTTAAATGTTTGCAGGTCACCTGATGAGCATGACTCCAGAACAGCTGCAGGCTTGGCGGTGGGAGCGGGAGATTGATGAAAGGAACCGTCCATTGACTGATGAGGAACTTGATGCAATGTTTCCAGAGGGATACAAAGTATGTGTTATAAAAGTATCATATTATGAAAATCTACAGAGCACATTTGAACTGGATGTACTGAAATTGTGTGTCTGACTGGATTTATTTTGTGTGCTCCGCTAGGTTCTGCCCCCTCCAGCAGGCTATGTGCCCATCCGTACCCCTGCACGTAAATTAGCTGCTACTCCAACCCCTATTGGAGGCATGACTGGCTTCCATATGCAAACAGAAGACCGATCGATGAAACAAGTTAACGACCAGCCATCCGGAAACCTGCCCTTCCTCAAGCCAGATGACATTCAGTACTTTGACAAACTGCTGGTGAGTGCCATGTTCATACGGGATCTCAGGGTTATGGAAAAAATATATTCATTGAAATTTTTATTTTTCAAATGTATTATTAATAGTAATAGTTTTGTAATTGGAAGGTATATAATTTTATAATATCTCTGTTTGCAGGTCGAAGTTGATGAGTCCACGCTTAGTCCAGAAGAACAGAAGGAGCGCAAGATCATGAAGCTGCTCCTGAAGATAAAAAATGGAACACCTCCCATGAGAAAGGTTAGCATCATCCCTAACACTCGAGTGTAAAAATTTTGCTTAAAGTATCTCTAACCAATCTGTCTCCTTTCAGGCTGCTCTTCGTCAAATCACAGATAAGGCCAGGGAGTTTGGTGCAGGACCCCTCTTCAACCAGATCTTGCCACTGCTAATGTCTCCTACACTGGAGGACCAGGAGCGCCATCTCTTGGTGAAAGTCATCGATCGTATCCTCTACAAACTTGATGATTTGGTTCGGCCATATGTGCACAAGGTAAGTTGCAGTGCCTATAACCATCAGTTTTATCAAAAAATTAATTGATTTCTATTTTAGGGGGGTTTCTAATGCGCTTCATTCTTGCAGATTCTTGTGGTGATTGAGCCCTTGCTGATCGATGAAGATTACTATGCTAGAGTAGAGGGAAGAGAAATCATCTCTAATTTGGCAAAGGTAAGATTATTAGTTGAAAACAACAAATATCTTGAATGTTAACAGTATGCTAACTGTCTAGTTTTATAATTATTTACGCTTAATCAAATCTGCATTCTTTCCCAGGCTGCTGGTCTGGCCACTATGATCTCCACCATGAGGCCTGACATTGACAACATGGACGAGTATGTGAGAAACACAACAGCTCGTGCTTTTGCAGTTGTGGCGTCTGCCCTGGGCATTCCATCTCTCCTGCCTTTCCTCAAGGCTGTTTGCAAAAGCAAGAAATCCTGGCAGGCTCGCCACACGGGTATTAAGATCGTCCAGCAAATCGCTATTCTCATGGGCTGTGCTATCCTGCCACATCTTCGCAGCTTGGTGGAGATTATCGAGCATGGTTAGTATTGCATTGTGGGGATCTATTCCTTTTCATCTGTGTATTTGATTGTATCACAATTGTCTCATATGTTGTGCAGACCAGTCTAAAGCTATTGATTGATTTATTTTTTCCCCCTTTAGGTCTCGTTGATGAGCAGCAGAAAGTACGAACCATCAGTGCTTTGGCTATTGCTGCCTTGGCTGAAGCTGCTACACCATACGGTATCGAGTCCTTTGATTCTGTCCTGAAACCTCTTTGGAAGGGTATCAGGCAACACAGAGGCAAGGTAAGAGTGGTTTGATCAGTGCTTTCAGATGTGGGTTGCAACCTAAGAAGCGTCAGTTTAACAGCATTATTCATGTCTGCTCAGGGTCTTGCTGCCTTCTTGAAAGCTATTGGATACTTGATTCCTCTTATGGATGCTGAATACGCCAACTACTACACCAGAGAAGTGATGCTTATCCTCATTCGAGAGTTCCAGTCACCTGATGAAGAAATGAAGAAGATTGTCCTTAAGGTGCTTTGAGGGGGAAAATCAAAGCATTAAGATGTGGTCTTTCAGAATATTTTGGTCTTATGCATTTTATTCCTATTCTTTTTTAGGTGGTGAAGCAGTGCTGTGCCACAGATGGTGTGGAAGCCAATTACATTAAAACAGAGATCCTGCCCCCCTTCTTTAAACATTTCTGGCAGCACAGAATGGCATTGGATAGGCGCAACTACAGACAGGTAAGTTTATCACGCAGGTTTGAGTAACTGTGACTAATGCACATTTAACTTGATGTTTTACTGCCTTAACAGTTGGTAGACACTACAGTGGAGCTGGCCAATAAAGTAGGGGCAGCTGAGATTATCTCCCGTATCGTGGATGACTTGAAGGATGAAGCTGAGCAGTACAGAAAAATGGTGATGGAGACCATTGAGAAAATCATGGGTAACCTTGGTGCCGCTGACATTGATCACAAACTGGAGGAGCAGCTTATTGATGGTATCCTGTACGCCTTCCAGGAACAAACCACTGAGGTGAGTAACAGACTTGCCTGAATTTAAATGATTGCTTTTCTCTTTTTCCTTAATGCCATAATCTCTTCTCAATCTCCAGGACTCTGTGATGCTGAATGGTTTTGGTACGGTGGTAAATGCTCTGGGTAAGAGAGTTAAACCGTACTTGCCTCAGATCTGCGGTACAGTTCTGTGGCGTCTCAACAACAAATCTGCCAAAGTCCGTCAACAGGCTGCTGACCTGATCTCTCGCACAGCGGTGGTTATGAAGACATGCCAAGAGGTAGGGATGACCATTTGAGATTTTGTGAACTGGAAAATTTTATGGGTTAAATAGTAAGTTGCTTACTGATAAATTTCTTGCTCTTATATTTCACTCTAGGAAAAGCTTATGGGCCATTTGGGTGTGGTGTTGTATGAGTACCTGGGAGAAGAATATCCTGAAGTGCTGGGTAGCATTCTTGGAGCCCTGAAAGCCATCGTCAATGTCATTGGTGGGTGTTTGCTAATTTACTAAAAGTGGAGCTTGCTAATATAAACCATTATAAGGGATATAAACAAAAACAATGGTCCTAACATATTTCCTGTTTTACATTTTTAATTTTCTATAGCTTTCCAGAATCCAAAAAGAGCCACATATTGATATTGTTATGATAGCTGTTTTATTAATAATTTATGATTGAATTGCCTCTTGTTACAGTTATGAAATAATTTGGTAACAAGAAGAAAATGTTCATGGCCCAATGACATGACCACATTGAAATGGTCTATATAGATGTAATATTAAATGTTCTCTTGTATTGTATTTTTTGTTCACACATTTGTTTGTGAAAAATATACTGCCAAAAGAAAAATATACTGCCAAAAAAAGTTGGTAAATCTATCAAGCTTATGAATGAATTTTGATTTTGAATATTTATTTATTTATTTTGGTTTGTTTTGTTTTTGGAGCATCAAATATTGTTTTAATAAATACTTGACAAATTATAATATTCTTTTACCACTTTACTCTGTTTTGACTAGGATTCATTCACCACTAAGTTAAATATGCATGTTTATCCATCCAAAGGTTTTGTGCTTATCTGCTTTGAACTTTTTTCTGGGTTAGTCAAACGCACATTTGATTGGATTGCTTTTTGTGGTGTAAAGTTTCATGTTGAATGTGTTTGAACAACTACAAAAAATCTAACTAAACGCATGATTAAGGCCGATTTATACTTCTGCGTTAAGCGTAAGATTAAAGTCTTGGTCGGCTTTTATGTGGTTGCCGACCTCTGGCATTGGCTGACATTGACACGCACCTCTCAAAAATGTAACTACATCTGTGATTGGTAGACTTTGTAGTGTAGGCGGGGCTAAAAGAGCAGTGAGCCCATTGGAGCGAGTGTATTCAAGTGTGGAGTCCCATGGAGAAGCTCCAGTTGGAAACTTTTGTTTGTGATTACCTTATGATTAAAGTTGTTGCATGTCTGCAGGTTGCTGCTTCTGAATGAGTGAGTTTGAGCTACTTTTACATTAAGGTAGCTTTAAGAAAAACAAAACACCCGTTAAGAAACTAGACACAGCGGAACATAAAATCCCAATGGCAGCTAGCGTTTCTGAAGTGTAATTGCAGAGCAACACAAAAAGCATGCAGAAGTCTAAATGCTCAGTTATGGGCAATGCAGGCATCGTGGGTCACGGTGATCACTTGATGTAGAAGTATATATCACCTTAATAGGCTGTGTTTAAGGGAAACCAGGGTTTAAATGTTTAAATGTCCTGTTTGCAGGTATGCACAAGATGACGCCTCCTATCAAAGACTTGCTTCCACGTTTGACTCCCATCTTGAAGAACAGACATGAGAAGGTGCAGGAGAACTGCATTGATCTTGTGGGCAGAATTGCTGACAGGTCAGTGTCACGTCTCTGTGCAGAATCCTAGCTATTTAGTCTTGAAAATATTTTGATAATGCCTTCTAAACGTATCAATGTGTCCCTTTTCAGGGGTGCGGAGTACGTGTCTGCCAGGGAATGGATGCGCATCTGTTTTGAATTGTTGGAGTTGTTGAAAGCCCACAAGAAGGCCATCCGCAGAGCTACTGTCAACACTTTCGGCTATATCGCCAAGGCCATTGGGTAAAAAAAAAAGAAGAAAAAGAATCTTACTGTTAACGCATAATCTGTCATTAGCAGGTTGGAAATGAGTTTAAAAAATTTTTTTTGTTTTGTTTTTTCCTAGTCCGCATGATGTGCTGGCCACACTGCTCAATAATCTTAAGGTGCAGGAGCGTCAGAACCGTGTGTGCACAACAGTAGCCATTGCTATTGTGGCTGAGACCTGTTCGCCATTCACCGTGCTTCCAGCGCTGATGAACGAGTATCGTGTTCCTGAGCTTAATGTGCAGAATGGTGTCCTAAAGTCTCTATCCTTCCTGTTTGAATATATTGGTGAAATGGGCAAAGATTATATATATGCTGTCACGCCTTTGTTGGAAGATGCTCTGATGGACAGGTGAGTTGGGAAATAAATTGCAAGTTTAGATTTGCAGATTATTTGCAATGGTGCATCCCATCAGGATAAAAAAAGATTTTGGTTGAATGACTGTCTATATTAAATGTTTAAAGTTGCAGTAGGTGATCTGCCTAAATGGCTGGCTAACCAGTCAGCATAATATCATTCAAATACAATCCCTCCCGTCGTCCAAAGCCCTGCCTTATATCATGAACACGCAGATGACAGTGACCCACTAGATTTTGTCATTCGCCAGTTAGAAAACTTTATAGTACTTTATAATACTACAATTCTGAACTAAAAACAGCATTATATCCAGCATGGTTTCAGTAATGTAGTTAGCAGGCAAAACTTGTCATCACTCTCTTACAGGCTTTGTCCTAAAGCAGCTACTGTAAGCTTAGTGGTTGGCCAGTGTCGTGCAGGAATTACACTTATTACTAAGCCATACTTGCATGCTGTTTAAGACTGAATATTCAGAGTAGCATAGTAAACACTATAGGAAGCGCGTCACAGGTTGTCATTGTTAAAAAATGAACCAATGTAAATATAAAACCAACTTAACCTCAGTAAAGCAGGCTAGGCGCAAAAGTGCTTATTTGCTGGTGTTTTGTTGTTAAACTAAATAAAAATCTACATTATTGATGCTGTAAAAAGACCGTACGAAACTGAAAATAGTCACATCAATACTTCGCCGGAAGATTTCAGTTGCTGAACAACACTTCTGTCCCTATACTTACTTATGCCCTCCACCCCTTCCGGGGTATGGGCCGCCAAAGGGAGATCTCCAGAGGTTCCTGTCCTGGGCCATTCTTTCTACTTGTCCCCAGCTGTAACCCATCCTTGTGATGTCGAGGTTGCGTCGCCAGGTGTTTCTTGGACGGCCTCTCTCCCGCTTCCCTTGGGGGTTTCATCTGAGAGCCTGTCTGGTGATGCTAGTTGGTGGTTTGCGTAGGGTGTGCCCTATCCAACCCCATCTTCGCTTCCAGATTTCTGTTTCTATCAGAGGTTGACAGGTCCTTCTCCATAGGTCGTGTTACTGATCGTGTCAGGCCAGCGAATGTGCAGAATCTTTCTGAGACAGGTGTTGATGAATGTCCATATAACATTTGGAAAACAACACAATCTACATCAGCTCTGTGTGACTAAAAGTTTTAAAACGGAACATTACCCGTCTAAAAGAAATACTTCAGCCATGGTGTAGTCCTTACTCTAGCGTGCAAAAGTAACTCCAATATTGATTCAGGATTTTAAAAAGTTTTAATTAAGCATTTGTTTTTAGTGCTGTCTCTCGTTTCCACCCTGGCCTGCATGAATGCGCATCAGCGGATCTACTTGAATGGCTGTGCAGTTGTTTAAATCTACATTCATTGACAGACAGCTTGGGCTACTTATCAGCATTATGGGAACTGTCCACCTGACAATATTTAATTGGATGAACTTTATGCAGGAGGTTGGTTGGTTAAAAAACAACCAACATTATCTGAGGTTTTCACTAAAATTACCAAGTACAACTGTGAAAGTGAAAGATTGAAGCAGTGTACTGACTCTGTGACACGTTACCTGATAGATTCAAAAGACCAAAGAGTCATTAGATAGCGACAAGATTAAATAAATATCATGTTAAACAACTAAAGTGAGACACGATCCAGCTGTACATCCTTGATAAAGGTGGAGGGCTGTTCAGAAATGCTAGGTAAAACATGGTGTGGATATGGATCATTTTCGTTCTAAAATGGCATTTTAGTAGTAAGACGTATTGGTGTAAACGGGGCCTAAGTGTGTATTTTTCGCGAGCGGGTTTGCGACAAGGGCGGGGCGAAGTATCAGCAGTGCTGGCTCAGCATTGTGTTGTCTATTGGCCGTCGACGATGGCATTGTTTATTGGCCCAACCCTAGGATGAAAATTTTTTTGTCTTATGCTTTACCCAGAGTATAAAAATACATAAAAACAAATTAAGATCTTTACTTTAATCAAAACTGTTGGAATGTGACTTTTAACCAGCACAACAAAAAATGTTCCTGAAGACAATCACCTACTGCACCTTTAAGCAATATAAGACTGTTCATTTGAAGCTATTGTTAGTATCTATAGAAGCAATGTCAAGTTTATTGCAGAATATCCATATTGAAGAAGTATTATAGTTGTTTTGAGAGTGTTGGATGACCTGCTCATTGGTCAACACTGTGGTTCATAAGAGTTGGGGAGCTTTGCATGAGACTTAAGATTGGTGCAATTTTTTATTCACTATTATAGATTGATGTAGTTTTTCCAAAACAAGTTAAATTATTAAGCACAATTGTTTAAAAGATAAGTAATTGTCAACAGATATGTTCTGCAATGTGTAAATAATCTGTTAAAGGGAACCTATTGTGCAAACATTACTTGTATAACCATATAATCAGCTTCTAATGGTAAGACTTTATTAATTTTAATGTTTATAATCACACTTCATAAATACTTTAAACTGCGTTCTCCCTTTGTATATGTCATCAGAGAGGGAAGCCCCGCCCATTAGGGACACTCTCCCTCATTAGAATAGGACCTTAGTCTTGTTTTTGTATCTGCCATTATACTGACACAGGCATTCTGTAAAGAGGGCTGGGAGCTCAATCTCATTTGAATTTAAAGCGACAGTCACCCAAATGGCACAATTAGGATCATAGCCTGAAAGGGGCAGTTGCAAAGAGTTATGAAACATAGTTTGTGCAGTATTTTGATCTGAAACTTCACATATACTCTAGGGACATCAGAGACTTATTTCACATCTTTTAAAAAGAGCCATAATAGGCCCACTTAAATGACCTGGGAGCGCACAACATGTCTTTTAACAGATTACTATTATTTTTATCTGACTGTCTGATTTAGATCTTAATTGTTTTACTCTGTAGCCATCTCTAACTTCTGTACTTTGTCTCCATTGCAGAGATCTGGTACACAGACAGACTGCTAGTGCTGTGGTGCAGCACATGTCTTTAGGGGTTTATGGCTTCGGCTGTGAAGATTCTCTTAATCATTTACTCAACTATGTTTGGCCAAATGTCTTTGAAACGTCTCCTCATGTCATCCAAGCTGTAATGGGGGCTCTTGAGGGTCTGCGAGTGGCAATTGGACCCTGCCGAATGCTGCAGTATTGCTTACAGGTGCGTTACATTTCAAACATAGTATCTGGGCTATAATGTTTCTTTGTTTTCATGTAATAATTCTTTCACTTGGATGCTTATCTTACATCCCCTTTTTCTTACTCAAAAGGGTTTGTTTCATCCTGCTCGGAAAGTGCGTGATGTTTACTGGAAGATCTACAACTCCATTTATATTGGTTCCCAGGATGCTCTAATCGCACATTATCCTCTAATCTTCAACGATGAGAAGAACTCGTATGTTCGTTATGAGCTGGAGTACTTTCTGTGAATATATCTATCCTTACATGTGCACTCTCTCTTCCCTCCTATATCTGTGTGTATTTCATGGTTTATAGGACTCGGTCCATTTTTTTATGTTTACTGGTAGATTGTAACCAGCACCACAGATTTTGTGGGTTAAAATTCATTTCTAATTAAAGAACAGGAAAATACAGAAAAAAAGGAGTATGTCAAACATGACGCTTTTAGATCTTTGGATTAGAGTTTTCTGTTTTTACGGTGTGGCTCTATGCACAGTGACGGTAAAGGTAGTAGCAGAGACTCTGAGGAGTGTGATTTATCTTCAGTACATCTTTTAACTCGACGTGTCCTGGTCTGTCAAGTTCGCTCTTTTGCTCAGTCACACATCTGTTCTTACTATAATGTTGCTTAGTTCGGCTGAATAAACGTTTGTGTATTAAAAGTCATTGATCTTTTGTTTGATGATTCGTGCACTACTAAAGTCTGAATTTAAAAAAAAAAAAAAAACTTTGAAAATTTAGTTTGAACAATCCAAGTTTTATCACCAACAAACGGACAGTGTAAGGATTGTCCTAACATTAATTTTGAAAATCATTTCCTGTGTATTTTGTGCTTTATTGGAAGTTATTTTAGTTTCATGTACTATTAAAGCCGGTCCTATTTTGTTTTATATTTGTGTTCATTATCTGACTTGAAGACTCCTATTATGAGCTTTTGTTAGCTTGTTTCCTGCATTCTGTTTAGACATAACAGCGCAGATGTGGAGGTATGATTCTCATTTAGGATTTTGCACAAACATGAGGGTCCTGGATTCTCTCGGTCTCAAACTATGTGAAACCATACTTCAGCAGAAAATTTCAGACAGTTTATAATCTTTACATCTACGTGTAGTGATTACATCTTTTCTATGAAACCGTCAACAATAGCATGTTTTATCAAGGAATTCACTATGTTTCTGACTGAAAATATTCTGTGAAACATCCTTGATCGGTGGCCCGTGGTCATTACATTTAATTATAAAGAGCCCTTGTTTTGTTGTAACCGTACGTTCACACCGAAAGCGGCGAGAGCGTCAAAGTAGCCGGAAGTCATTCATTTTCAATGAGAGCCGGCGGCGATACGCAGCGTTAAGCGGCGAGGAGCAGCGCGGCGCGTCTTCGCCGGCGTGAGCGTCGAGGAGAGTTGAAATGAAGTCAACTTTATGGTAATGAGCTATGACGCGGTTCGGCGGCAAGCAATCAGAATGAAGACGTCCATCGATTGATAGCAGTTCAGAGAACACAGACCTGTGAACTTTGGTTCCGACCACAGTTGTTCCCAAGGGTTTGATTATTGCGGTCGCCGGATTTCCAATTATTTACAATTTTTTTTCTACAGGAACATACATTAAATAAGTTACTGGCGACTTACTGATGTTCATTAATGTTATATATTTATCTTAAAAAAGCGGGAATCTCACGCGATGTGACAGTACAAAACAGTACTGCTGCTTCAGGATATTTCAGACATATGGACACATATTGGATAAATAGAGCAAAGCCACACGCAACTTGATCTTCCATTGTTGTATGAATTTGATAAGAAGTGCGCAACATTTTCACGCTAGAAACATGTTTTATGCAGGAATGTAACTGATATGCTGCAACGGCTCCTTTAAATATGAGAGATCAATGTAGCGAGTTTTGACGCTCTCGCCGCAGGAGCTGAAGGCAGTGAGCGTTGTCGCCAGGGCGGCCAGAGCGACCTTGGACGCTCTCGCCGCTTTCGGTGTGAACGTACGGTAAGGCTGCATTTTCATTCCGAATGTAGTATTGAAATGTGCTTGAACCTAAAATATAAAAACATTAGATAAAGACTGAGATTTATTTATTTTGTTCAATATTTTATTTCCTGCCCACAGAGCAATTTTGTGTTTGGATGTCTAAATGTTGATGGCTTGGCTAAAGCAAGGCTAAATTTGGGTGGTCAGTGAAAATCTAGACATCTAAGAAAAGACCAAAACTGGACTAGTCATCAAATACAGATTAGACAGACTTCACATCTATAGTCATTCATTCTTTTATTTGGTGACTAGTCTAGTTTTGGGCTTTTCTTATATGTCCATTTGATGTTCACTGACAGCTCAAATGTAGCCTTGTTTTAATGAAGCCGTCTATGTTTAAACGTCTATTACACGTCTTTAAATCTTTTTTTATAAATGTTTGTTTTGGTGTATATGCGCAATATATATATATATATATATATATATATATATATATATATATATATATATATATATATATACATACACACACACACACACACACACACACACACACACACACACACACAAAGCTTCTTCTCGTGGGCCCTATTTGAATGTTAGCCCAAACTCTCATGCCTCTTTAAATATAGCATCTCTATCAGTCTGATACACAGGAATTGTTAGGTGATGTCATGCTGCAAAGCACAAACAAACTGATATTTGCTTCCAGGGACATTGTAGGCAAGTTCCTGTTTTTCATTCCTAAAGGAATGTAGAGCTGTCATTTATTAACTGCACAATGTGACTAATATAGAACAGCAGCAAATAAACAGAGGGGGAGAGATGGATGTACAATGAATACAATATTATTATTTAATATTTCATCGAATTGTAATTGAAGAACTTTGACCAGACAAGACAATTAGGCAATGTACAATTATCTTGAAAGTTGGCCACTACTTTCCCACCACGTTTTATCAGTTTATAATTTTCAACTGTTTAATTGAATGGAGTAAGGATTACATTTTAAATCTTATTGTATTGTATTATTTATATCTTAAATATCAATAATTAAAAATGTATAATAGAAATATACTTTTGACCCCCCCCCCCCCCCCCCCCTCCCCCAATAATAGTTCGTACGATTGATAATGCATAATCGTGCTAATCAATGCCAGGAAAAATAAACTTCAACTGAAACTGGCAGTACCGATAGAGATCGTAAGTATTCACAAAACACGCTTCTTGTAAAATATGTGTTTATATATGCATGTAGCCTAAAAAAACAGAAAAATTAGACTTATGATTTGTATAGTTTAACCGACTGCTTCTATAATGTTCTGCAGATGAAGATATTAGATGGTCAGAGTGTGAATATAAATACAAAATACTAATTTATGTGTGGAACTATTTCTTTAAATAGAGCAGATTCATTACAATGATTGATTCGTGCATCAGTCTAGCGAGGGCATCAGTGAGGCGGTGATGATGGCTACTCGGAAGAACTGACAATCCTGTGCATCGGATACCAAATTACTTGTCCTACTATGGTAACGGAATAGCTCATGAATATTAATTAGGACTTGTTTTCGTCACTGCATATCCTCCTGTGAACATCCAGTCAGGGGCCATTGTTAATAATAACAAACAATAGTTAGTTCCTAAATTCGCAGAAGGATTCGTTGATTGGTCACACCAACAGCGCCCACTTTGACCGCGTCGAGCTTTCAGCCAACCAGTTGGGAAAACTGTGTACGTCGTTAATATTTATGAACCAGGCCTTCGCCGTAGTAGGATTCCGAAATTAGCGAGGGGGGAAGCGTACAAAAACGCTGACTTCCTGTATTTTATTATAACGAATGAATACATTACGCAGAGCGTAAAGCAGTGGGGTTTCAAATCTAAAAATCGTTATCGTTTTGGATGCCACTGCTGTAAATGCGGATTGTTTACAGCACCCCTCGCATCCTTTCCTCCCTCCCCTTTTCCTCTTTCCCGGAGCGCCGGAGCGCTGGTGGTGAGGCAGCGGCTGCAGCTGCTCCCGCTGACCGAAGATAGCGCCTGCAGAACCGGCCACGGCCGTCACATCACCCCGGGCCCTTGGAGAGGGCGAACCACAGCAAAGCAGGAAGCAAGCTTTTGACGCCACATCATTGTGCAGCATCATCCTTCCGTAAAAAAAGCGCACGGCTCCTTCTGGATTTGATTAATCTACACCTTCAGGTCTTTTCAGGAGTTTGGATGTCCAGTTTCACATGATATGGCTGTTCTCAAACTAGTCGACCAGGTAATTTACTAAGATTTTTTAAAATGTTTATAAAAATGAAGTTGACTTGTGTGAAGATGAAACTGAGGAGTTACGTGAAATTAAATGTAATTTTCTGTTAATATGCTAATGATTATTGTGATGCTCCATATGCAGTATGCAACTGCAGAAACTAGCTATATTTGCAGCATATGCGTTACATGTTAAAAATGCATGAGACCACATACAAGTTTAATTTGCATAAGTCTGTTTCTGGTGTCTTGCATTTAGCAACGACATAAAAAAAAATAATAATTTTTTAGCAACGACATAATAGTCCTTGTTGGGAGACATTGGTCTTCCTGAAAACCAAAGAGCAGCAAACTGCTATTACTGATGTACAGAGTAGTGAATCAAATACTTAAATGTGCTTGAATTTACAAGTCAAATAGTTATGTGTGATAGTGTACCATTAATGATAGTAAGTCTATGATTAATAATGTGATTTACCCACACTGTTGTGTTTAGGGTAAGATAAATGTACACTTAGCAAGAAAGTGAATGTTGTTGACTTTTTACATAACTTGTGTATTCATCTGATTTCATCTAGAGAAACTTCCTGCTGTGCGCTGTAGTGTGCTGTGATGCTGATGTTGATATGACTCATTAAACTTATCTGCTCCTCATCCAAGTTTTAAGATGAACTAATCATTTAATTATCAGCAATCAGATTTAGGTTTTAAACTAGTATAGTTGCATACCAACATGTGGTTGAGCTCCACCCTGTTTAAGTCAAGTTCCTCATCTTGAGTGTTCAGTGAATTTTATGACAATAGCAGCAAATTTGTTTTTAATGTATATTTTATATATACAAATCTGAAATAATGTGATATGTCTTTTGAGACTAGTTAATGCTGCTAAATGTTGGCTTTTCAAATGAGTAAAAAGTGAGAGTGCTTTTGTTTTGTGTGTGTGTGTGCAGAGTAGATCTATTTCCCTAATGGTCATGTGATTCTCTCATATCTAGACACTATTGCAAAGGTTCTAGGAAGCTGTCCTTGCAAAAAGTAACTCAATGTCTGTCAAGGGCCCCATGGACAACTTTTCAAGGTTGAGAGGATTTTTGTTCTGCAAGATCCTAGCCTGTGCTTGTATTTTGCTAACTAGGTAGTTGGAGAAATATTTGAGAATAAATGAGTTCAGCTAAAACCTGTTTAATGTTGTTAGTTGCTACAGAAAATAGGGCAAGTCATTCCTTGTTTTGTAATAACAAACAAATGAAAAATTGTGTGTGAGATTCCAGAGGGGTTAAAATTTAGAAATGTGCTGCTTCTATTTCGATTGGTTATCTTTTGTTAATTTGTATAAACTAATTGTGTTCTTTGAGTTGCAAATGTCATCTAATCATGGGTCTTTAAATGGGGTCACTGGAACCCCCAGGGGGCAGCGGGGGTCTGTACAAAAGCTTGCAATTTTTTCCCCCCTAAAAATGAGCAAATGTATGCTTTGCTAAATGCGCTTAATATATTATTTATTGCAATTATTTGTTTGTTTGTGCATTTTAATAATATTTGATTTTGTTCTCTAATCCATGGTGTTATTAATGCTATAATATTATCATATGCTTAGATTGTGTAAAGTAGTTTAGTATCAGTTTTAGTATAATGCCAATGTTAATGCATTGCATTTAGAAACAAATACTATTTTTGTTATTTTAGTAATGTAATCTGGGCGTCAGTGGTGCCGTGGGTAGCATGATCGCCTCTTGGCAAGTAGGTCGCTGGTTCGAGCCCCGGCTGGGTCAGTTGGCATTTCTGTGTGGAGTTTGCATGTTCTTCCCATGTTCGTGTGGGTGTCCTCTCGGTGCTCCGGTTTCATCCACAGTCCAAAGACATGCACTATAGGTGAATTGAATAAACTAAATTGGCTGTAGTGTATGCATGTAAAGGAGTGTGTGTGTGGGTGTTTCCCAGTGTTGGGTTTTGGCTGGAAGGGCATCTGCTGCGTAAAAACATTTGCTGAATAAGTTGGCGCTCACTCCCCTGTGGTGGCCCCTGATTATTAAAAGAGCTAAGCTGAAAAGAAAATGAATGAATAATCGTATAATCTTTCATATTTTGCTCACTTGTAAACTGATGATTATTAATAATTTATATTGTTGACTATTATTTATAAACAAGGTTCTTCACAAGGCAAGTTGTTATTTTGTGATCCTTAGTATCAAAAATATAAAACCCTCGACCAAAATAAACCATTAATGCTAAATAAATTTAAGATATTATTTGTGCATTCATTTATTTCTTTACATTTAAAAATATTTTATTTTATTCTCTAATTCATGGAATTTATGCTATAATTATTATTATATGCAAGATTATGTAAAGTAGTTTAGTATCAGTTTTACTATAATGACTATGTAAAGATCAGGTATTATATTTATAAGCAAATATAATTTTTGTTATTTTAATAACATAACCTTAATATTTTATTCACTTGTAAACTGATTATTATTCATAATTTTTCCTTAAATTCTTAGTATAAAAAATATAAAACTCTTAATCAAAATAAACCATTATTGCTAAATACAATTCAGATAGTATTCGTCCATTTATTTCTTTACATTTAATAATACTGGATTTTGTTCTCCAAGCCATGCCTTATTTTGTGCCATAAATATTACCATATGCCAAGATTATGTAGTTTACTATAAGTTTTAGTATAATGACGATGTAAAGGTCAGTTATTAAACATATTTATATTATTAATATTGTCCTATTATTATAACCTTTATTATTTTCCTCAGTGGCAAATCAATTTTCATTTATAAATTAATTGATAATCATTAGGGTCTTTCACAAGGAGATTATTTTATCTTGGGATCTTTATCTAAAAATATATGAACCCTTGGTCAAAATAAATGTTTAGTTAATAATTATTTTTTTCTCAGATTGGATTATACTTGCATATACATGCACGTAGGCATGGGACGATAACCGTTGTGAAAATATACTGCAGTTTGGAAAAGTCAAGGTTTTAAAACCGCCCAAATTTCGTGCTATATCGTTCCTAGAGTATGTGTACGTTTTTTTATGTACTTTTGTAGGACAACAGTATCTCCAGCAGAAAATAAATCCAAAGATGCCATCTTAAAATGTAAAGAAATTCATGTTTTTGGATGTAATGAAGACAGCACAAGTCAATAATTTATTTGAATTAATATTTGAATGTTTCTCAAACTAAATATATTGTTTTCAGTTGGGAAAAAGTTTTAGTTTTTTTACCCAGACATTTAAAAATATATATATTTAGAGCAGTAATCACAATACCATGAACCTGTGATATTTTTATCCAAGATTATCATATCGTCAGAATCTTATACTGGCTCATGCCTACATGCATGATGCATTCATTTAATGTATTTAGCAGAAACTTAAACCAAAAGCAGCATACAAATGAAGAAAATCACAAGCATATAAAGTTGTTTAAGTCTTAAATCGGGAAAAAGTGTATGTTTATTCTGGCACCGCGCCTTGCTCTTTAAGACTTCCATTAAAATTGCATTAATGTGAACCAATGTCTTGTTTGGACACAAGTTGAAATTATTTTGTGTGGTGGTTGACACTATATCCCAGACAGTTCAACTTGTGTTAAAGCCAGAACATTTATTAAGAAAGTTAATATGTGACACTAAGTGTTCGGAGCGTCAGTAATGTTTACGCTCATTTGGCCCTTGTGTACAGTTTGATTTCCATACTTTGCCCCAAAGAGGAAAGCAACAGGAAGTTGTTGAATTTCAGCATTCCCCTCTCATGCTTTTTCGTAGTCTCAGAGGGTTACATGACACAAGTTCAGAGAGCCTTAGAGGGAGGAAATAGAGGACAGTGTTTGTGGCAGCTTTTTAAATTGCTTTTAAAGATCATGACTTTTAAATATTAGATATTGTTCATCATAGTGCCTTACGATTTAGTTCAAGTGCATATCACTGTAATTTAAAATGACATTTCAGTCAAGGAGAAAACAACACATCTTAGATTTTATTTTTAATGCTTTAGTTGGTAAATTACTAGAGCACATAACTAGTTTGTCGGAGTACTGTTCAAATACTTATAATACCAGAACAGCAGATATACTTTTACTTAAGATGCCATTTTTTTCACCCAAGGTTAGGTTGATCTGCATTCTCTGAGTATGCTTCATATGTACCGAATGAGCTTCAAGATATACTACATGAAATATGTACCATCTATCGCTATATCTAAAAATTTTTGTCAGTTATTACAGTGCACATGTTTTAATAATTGATTATGGTTCATACTATTTTTGTGTGTGTCTATTTGTTGTGATATGTATTTTTTGTTACTTTGTCCTATGCTGCCTGTCTTGATGAGGACTTCCTAGTAGAAGAGATGTTGTATCTCAATAGGACGTTCCTGGTTAAATAATAAAATAAAATAAAAATAATAAAATGTTTTAAAGTATCCCAAATAGTGTTTTAGATGTTGTTTTGTTGAAGACAGAATTTCAAAGCAAAACTGTACCACAGTACCACAAATTAGATGGCTTGCAGAATGCAAATCTTCTAAAAGTCATGATGTAACAGAATTAATGACAGAGCCCTAGTTTCTTCCCTCTTGTGTACATCTGAGAGAGAGGAGCTATTGAAAATACAAGAAAAGTCTACTTTTAGTTGTATAAATGGCATATTGATTGGATGGTGTTGGATCTGGGGTCTGTTCTTCGTACGTGGATTACTCAATTAGCTGGATTTGGTTATGATGATTTGACATGATCCAGGATCATTCAGTTCTTCAAAACTGATCCAAGAATTGAGTTGTCGTAGCAACAGCTCTGTTGCTCAAACCTGCTCAGGAGCAGGTTTATTTTATATAAACAGGATTAGATCGGGTCTTTTCAAGCAAAGGTAATACTGAAAGTGTGTACCGAATGCTGATATCTTCTTACATTAATAATTATATACACTTGGAAAAATAGTTAAAAATATATATTTTATTCAGTTTAAGTCTAAAAAAAGATATAAATTA